GGTACTCAAACTATCCAACCAGGAGCGAACTCGTAACAATAGTTTTAAATTAGACAAATTTAGACTAGGGCGCGAAATAGGTAAACATTGGTTTGGAAATAGAGTAGCGGATGAATGGAACAAGTTACCAATTTCTGGCCCTTAAAACTCACTTCTGCTGCTGGTTTTTACTTCATAATTTGGAATATACAACAAACATAGCCTAGGCTTACATTTTACGAAGAGAACTAATCTATTATTACCTCCTATTTCCGGTAAACAATACTCATTACAATTCATGGCTTCAGCAAACAGGTAAACACAGCCTTACACAGAATCACGTCAGATCTGATTGATGTAGGCTGCTGACGTCATCCAGCCGAGCAAAAGAACGGGAGGGAGTCTTACGTCAGGCTGGTACGAGAAACGTGACTTTATGACCTTGTGAACGATTATGACAGCCCAGGAGTGTTACTGTAACTTGTACATAATGTCCTCTCTTGAACGAAATGTCCTCTTGAACATAGTGTCGAAATGTCCTCTTGAACATAGCGTCGAAATGTCCTCTTGAACATAGTGTCGAAATGTCCTCTTGAACATAGTGTCCTCTCCTGTATTTTCTGCAGTGTCCCATATGTACATAATGTCATCACTTGAAGATAATGTCCTCTTGATCTTATTGCCCTCCTATACACTGTACCATATTGTATATTTAATGTCCTCTTTTATACTTCATAATGTCCCATGTGTACATACATGACCTCTCTCTCATACATAATGTTCTCCTGTACATAATGTTCATTCCTGTTAGTATATTCTCCTGTACAGTGTCCTCTCTTCAACAAACTACCATCTGCCGCCTCCTTTCATTCACCCACAATCTGAAAATATTTTTGCCCTTTGTAGTATTCTGTACATCTTCTGTCAATCATTATAACTTCTCCACTTCATTCAGTCGTAGTCAAAAGTCATCATTCATCCCTCCTATCATACCCACGAGCTCGGGACCTTTCTACACGACGGGTCTCAAGCAGGTGAGGGGTGAACTGAAGGGGGAGAGCGAGGTGGCGGACCCGGGTATTTACGGGAATTAGCCCACCCGGGCACAGGTCAAACGACCCACAACGGAGCCTGGGGGGCGAAAAAAAAGAACGGAAAGAAATTGAAAATATAGAAAAAAAGGTTATAATGTATTAATCTACACCACGAAGATGCCGGAAAATCAGCTTTTTAAAGTGAGACAGATTGTAAGAGCATGGAAACACAGAAGAAGGCAAAGCATTCCACAGTTTGGCTGTGTGAGGAAAGAAGGAGGTACTATAACGGGTTATTCTCGTGTGACCGATATCCACAGAGAAATGGTGGGCACCGCAGGCAAGACGTGTGTTACGAACCCACGGTCTTACCGGTGGTACACAGGATGCCAAATCCCCTGAACATTGCCCGTTAAAGTACCTGTAAAAGAGAGAGAGTGAAGCAACATTGCAGCGAAGAGAAAGGGGAGAGAGATTGTCGACTAAAGGAGGAGAGTTAATAAGACGAAATGCCTTTGATTCCACCCATCTAATAGTTGGACAGAAGAGCCACCCCAAATATGAGAGCAGTACTCCAAGTTAGGACGAATGAATCCCTTATATACTTGGAGCAACTGCTCAGGAGTGAAGTAGCTGCGGCATCTGTACAGCATTCCCAACTTTCGGGAGGCAGCTTTAGTTATACTAAGGATGTGTGATTTCCAGGACATATTGGAGGAAATGGTGAGGCCTAACATATTTATTTCAGAATTTGGGGGGGATGATAGCGTCCTGAAATGTAATTGGTGGGAGATCGTCTACTTTACAAAGCGTAATTGGTATGATAAGAGAGTGCCAGTCAAGGACAACATACGCAATGAGAGTGTACGCATGTGGTCTTAAAATTATCCTTAACACCTGAAGGTTTCCCTCTCATAGTGTTAAAGTTGGTGGATGTAGTTTGATGTTGACGGCCTTAATGACCCTGTTAGTTGATAGGCCTCAAGCCCAAACAACCAACCAACCAGGAGGGCAGGTGTCCAGAGGGGTGTCATATGGACTAAACTTTCCCTTCGTTATCTATGTGTTTACGTGTGAGATTCTGGGCAGGAATGCAAGTAAGCTTTTGGCAGATAATGTGTCATTAGGGTTGATAAGGCGTCTGGTTTCTGTGAGGGAAAACCCGATATGACAACATAAGGCTATGCTCCATGTGCGACCAGGGCATAGACGCGTGACCTACTTTCAAAAGCGACCTGTGTCCCACCTGCCAGCATCTTGCCAAGAGTAAACATGCCGTCTACGCAGCACAGAAGTTTTGCTGAAACTTTTTAGAAAATAATGCTTTTTACCGTGTGGTACCTGCAGAGGTACCCAGGAAAATGCATCCCATATATCGGAAGAAGAAGGAATTAGGTGAATTTCACCATCTCTACAAGGAACTTCGCCAAGATCCAAAGAAGTTTTACGAGTACACCTAGGAATGCTCTGAACTATGAAAAATAATTTTTAATTACAGACTGTCACATGCCAGGCGTATTGTAGAGCGTGCATTTGGAATTTGTACAGTATCTAAAAAAATTATGTGCATACTCCGTGTGAAACAATATGAGACCACAGACGATAGATACAGTATTGGGATATGTGTGTTGTCTCCTTATACTATGTGTTAGTAATCATTTAATCATTTATTTTATTCCTATATGTCAAGTCACCCCGTGTTGCATACTGAATGGCGGTGGGTGAAGACATGCATACCAACCCTCCTGAGACATCACGAGTTGTACGTATAATTCCGGAAGTTATCGGACCCACCCGTCAGATACTTTGTTAGCTACTGTACATTAAATGGAGAATTATAAATAAAGCAATTGAAACAAGGATAGATACTGCTGGCGACATTATAAAGTGTGCTACACTTCTCTATAATATCATCATTGAAACAAAGGGTCTGGATGCAAAGTCATATGCAATTCAACAATGTACAGTTGGAATAACACAGCACTCTCTAGAATAAACATTCATCTGCAAAAAAAATGAGAGAAATATTTTGCAGCTACTTTAATAGTCTACAAGGATCTATTTATTGGCAAGATCAAGCTGTTAATAGTGGAAAATGAATGTATAGCCTTCTTTAGTTTTGGTGTAAAATGCAAGGATTCACGCGACTGAGGAAGTAACGATCAAATTATTTGATCGCTGCTTCTAGGTCGCGTGAATAGTTCCCTCTTCCCGGTCGCTCGAGAACACTTCACACGTCTATGTGGGACACATTGAAGAAAACACTTATGTTTGTCTGCTACACCAAGGTAAAGCGTTCACTAGCATGGTCGCTCAATGCCGCATGACGCTCACACATGGGACATAGCCTAAGATAGATTGGGGACATAGCTTCACATTTGGCCTTGCTTACCACCAGTAACACTAAACTAGATCACTTCCACCTGCTGCCACTACCGTTCTTGAAAAAAATCTCTATTAATTTATTAAAAAAAATTAAGAATGAATTGTTGGATAGAATGTGACTTGTCCACCCTTGTGTCCTCAGTCCAAAGAAGACTCCAGGAGGTTATAGAAAAGGGAGGCCATTGGACAGGCTATTGAGATTCTGTGTAACCTGTGTTGGTAAATATTAAACATAAATGTGATTTCCACTCTCATATTCAATATTTCTTGTCATATCAACGTTAATGTAAATATCTAATTACCATTGTTGAAAACCTGAACTCCTGTACAACCTGAAGAAATTATAAAAAAAGAAATGAATGGCACATTATAATAATCATACAAGTCCTCATCTATTACTCTTTCAAACATGTAAACCAAAGATAATATAGTAAAAAAAAAAAAAAAATTACACCCATCCTTTCCTTTTCTTTCATGAATTTCCCTGCTTTCTTCAAACCCCCCTCCCCCTCTCTGATCACTTACATCACATACAACCCTCCCAGACCCCACCAACAGAAATGTGGATGGTTACTCATTTCTCTTGGTGTCTCACTTCTCCTGCACACCTTCATACACTATAATTGTGCTCTTTATCACTTCTGTATCATATATCATGAATCTCTACTGTTTCTACTTTAAACTGCTTCCATATTATGTGTGAAACTTGTCTAAGTATTTCAATTCCCACTTACTATAACAGGGTGATCAAAGTCAGCGAGAGAAAAGAAATAGTTTGCACATACGGTACAGTATGAATACAACACAGTATTACTTTTGGCATTTGCTACGAATAGGTGTAGCGATAGTTCTGTACTGTACTTACTATGATGGCCTACCATAACAAAGCAATTTAACCCTCTTGTTGTCTTTCAAAGCAAATTGCATCGCTAATCAGAATCACTCCCGTGCTGGTGCAACCCCTCCTGTTCAGCCATATCTCACACTGAGAGAACACCTCCCTTAAGCAGAAATGCATGAACAGTGGACCGGCTTATCAGCCAGAAAGTTCCTCCCACTGGTGTCGAGGGCTGGCAGATGTGTCTCTAAGGGTCAATTTGGGATCAGGATCACTCTACCCAATGTTTACTAAAATGGAAAAACTGTTCCTGTTACCAATGCAACCTGTGTGGAAAGACTGTGAGGGAGTGATATGGCAAATGACGCTAATTACGTAGAAAGACCGCAAGGTGTTGAGATTTCCGACCAAGGCCAAGAGCACCAGCTGTGTTTTTAATGCATGTCAGCCACACTGAGATGAGGTGGGGTGAGCGGGTTCCTCGAGAAACACCCATGGTACAATACCGACCCGGGGTACACGTACAACTGTCAATCTTAAGATCAAATTTACATATATACTCAACACTTTCATTCTGGGGTCATCTGGGGACTTCATCCTTTAGCACATTTTCCCCTTAATTAACATTTATGTATATACTAGGCCTCTAATTTCCTGTATTTGGAAAATTCACAATGTGATTATTCCCAGTACCAAGCTTGCTGGATAACTGATGTACTACCTGTACTCCTTACTGGGCATGTCAATGAGTTTAAAGATGCATACACATATTACCCTTGCTTTATTGGTCACAGTTCATTACATATCATTCTACATAATTAAGTCTTTATCAAAAAATATACTAGAGCAAAAAACTGATGTATAAACTGCTATACTTATCACTGCCATATAAAACTAACCTTTCTTTAATCACTGCTCTAATATTCACATCATCATTGTATATCTTGCAAACAAAAACATTTACAAATACAGTACATTTCACAGACCTGCAACTCGCATCATTATTTGAAATCTTTAGATGGCATAAGACAATAATAACAGAATGGTACAGTAACTTTGATTACAGTACAGTGAGGGTCAATGGAGATTTAGTGTTCAATAACAAATATAACAGACATACCAATACAGTACATGTTTATGAAGTCTGACTTAAGGTAATGTAAAATCTGTTACCTGTTATAAGCCCTGAAAGACTTGGTACAGTGAAATATAACAAGATATTAATTTTAGAGACCTGTATACAAATACAGATCTTAAATCAATGTAATGAACCATACTTAAAATAATTATCTTTAATATACAGTACTGTACAGTATATATACTGTACAATACTGCACACACATACGTATAGCTACGCCTAATACTGGTGAAATTTTTTTTGTTATCAAGTGTAGTATTGATCAGCATAAGCAAATTATACATGAAATTTAATTAACATTCTTAAACAAAAAATTAATTAATTTGAGTAGTGAAATATTACAGATCGGCTCACAAGTTGCTTAAGTGAATATTTTATGAAGAATAAGTTTCTTTCGAATTACCAGTCATACTTCCCAAACATATTAAAAAAAGAAAGATTATACCATAAAATTAAGCTTGTGTTGTGTAATAAGCCACACCTTAAACTTCATTTCCAGTATTCTCTCACAAGTCATATACAGTATAATTATTTTATGTAATATGCCGTGCTATGTTAACAGTGTTAGCAAATCCTGAATATAACACATTAATCAGAATTTAAGTAACTACATAAATTATCTGTACAAGTGTGCTGCCATTAGTAAGACATTCTTCTCACTGCCATTACTCTTTCTTCTTGATAATAAGAGGTCCAACGTTGTCCCCACAACAGTTGTTGTGTGCAGTATGGCTTCCATCACAGTAAGGAAACTGGAAAAAGCAGTAATATGTTTTAAATTTAAATAACTCACGTTTTCTACAGTTCACTTTGGTTTTGCTTAAATCCCAAGTTACTGTGAACTAGTTAGACCAATTTCTTATTTGATAATTATTTAACAGGAAACAAACATTCTTCCCTTTAATTTTCAACTTCACAAGATAAAATATTGTTGCACTGTACAATACTTGTATATTTAAACTAATGTGATCATGTGATTACATCTACATTACATAAATTTTCCTGTAACCAAAATTACATGTGATTATCAATAATGATTTTTGGTCTCTGCTTTCTATATATATATTAAGTCATTCTTGCTTAAGTCCTTTTCAATTCTTCAGTTTTTTTAATAAGTCCCAAGTCTTTAAAATTTCATAGAGCACTTTCCTTTCATTCTATTACAGGTTCCCTCAATTTACAAAATATCAGTTTACTTTTTTTTCAGTAATAAAACCCTTTCATTGATCAAGGGATGCCTCTATTGGCTGACACGATATATAACAGACATCTGCCATTAGCACAGAAGCTTCAATCCATTATTGTTGTCTGCAACCCGGGTAAAATTCACTACTATGAGACAATTTCCATTATCAAAAATTAATGATCCATGCAAAATGTACCTGTCTGAGCTTGTCTTTGCACCTGCAGTCTTGTGATTGGTGACAAATTCCATCTCAATTCAGAATTCTACCTTGGAGTTCTCAGTGAGGAAAGCTATGCTCTCAATTATTTCCTTCTACCTGTGTTTACATAAATTCTTTGACCGCTGCTCAACTAAAATATTTCAATAACTACAGAAGACGAGTGATTTGATTTGATTTACGAAAGGGATACGTTCCTGAAAACATTTCATATATAAATTGTTCATAAATTGAAGCAATTTTTCCTACCGACTACCATTATAAAAAGAATGATTCGTTTCTACAGAAAAAAAGTCCCCCAAATGTAAAAATGCACATTTTAAGCAATTTTTTGTGGGAAACAATATTTTCTAAGCACATGTATTAATCATAATACCATATAGTACTGTAACATTAATAAACTAGTACAGTACTGTATCAACTTTATTTAATCCATATTAGAATTTTTACCTTATTTACTCACTAGAGGTGGCCCTGCCAAGGGAAGGAGGCCAGTTACGATGTTACGTAAATCGAGACACTCCTATACAGTATTTAGTTTTGCTCTTCTGTAAGGTTAAGTCCAAACCAGGCAGAAGGTAAGTGATAGTCTGCTGGTTCCTCTGGGGCTTTCATTGGAATTATTACTCTATTGAAACCCATTTTAGCTGATACAGTGTTCTCTACAGAGTGAACAGGAACAACAAAGGCAAGTGAATAGTAAAGTACTGTACAGTACATTACTTTGAAAGGGTGTATGATTGAATGACATTAAAGGTAAATGCCAAAAAGAATGGCATTTGAGAAGAGTAAATCTGATATTCAGTTGCAGAATTTGTAATGTATGAATTTTACCCAATAAATTCAAATCCAAATGAACTACTAGAGGGGTTTACGAATTGAAAGCCTGCTATGTAAAAATAGTACCACTGATAGTGAAAACAAGATGATGATAACACATGGCAGGAGATTAATTGGAGAGTTAGACAATATCATTATGAGGGAAATATACCTTTGGGGTGAAAAAGGAACTGGAGGAAAACTTTCCCGAGATAGTAGTCATGTGAAAATGATGACCGAGTATAGTACTATACAGTGATCCCTCGATTAACAAGCGCCTCGTTAACGAAATTTTGGTTAACGAATTACCTTCCATAAGATTCTTAACTTCGGTTAAAGAGCATTCCCTCGATTAACGAATTCCTTACGAGCGCCCCTCAACATGTTTTCGCTTGCACACTAGCTGTCATATTAGTCCGCCAATACAGTAATCGGTTCTAGGGCTTAAATTCCTTACTATTTTAGTAAATATCAAGAAGTTTGTGCTATTCAATAATTTTAAAAGTCTTATATTAAAATATTTAGTCATATTAACAATTATTTAACATAATTTAAGTACAGGGAAACTATTTTTTTTTGCGCCAAACAGCCTGTCAACACACCATACAGGCGTCAGTCTCTGTGTCTTTTCAGTGGAGGTAACATCTTGCTTTAGACTCTCTTCAACATAAATGCTTTTTTTCTGTGTTTCCAGTCAAGTTATTGGTCATTTTGAAATATATCTTACATATTGATAATGTATAGCACAGTGCAGTGTTGATTTAAAGAAAATAATCTTGAATTACACCAAGTAAACTGAAATTTTATGGATGAAATGGCAGCATGGGGGTGACTTCTGTTCCACCCCAATGCCTTCTCTTCTCCCTTCTCCTCCATCCCCATTCTAATTCCCATCATCATCATCATCATCATCCAGGAGCCTTCTACATACACACCTCAAAGTAAGTGTACTTTACTACCTTTTTTGTTGACTTTAGGCAATTTTCGGTGAGCTGGAACCAATTACCCAAAAACCCATTGAAACAATGGTTTCGGTTAACGAGCCACCTTCTAGAACAAATTGTGCTCGTTAACCGAGGGACCACTGTACAGGTAACCCCCAAGATACGATATCCCGAGATGCGATATTTCACTTGACAATGGTTATAAATTAATACCATCTCACTATATATAATCAAAACAACTCGCTTTAACGATATCCATCAAATAGCCATCAATATCCTTTGGTTGGATTTTTTTTCTCTAATGCAAACAATGGGTTGTTTATACACTCAAATTAATCGCCATCTTGCATGGATTCCAGCAATGCAAGTTATATTTTTCTCCAAGTCAGTGACATTTTATAAGGAAACAATATTTAACCCTATGCATCGCACGTCTCTACCTTCACATGTCAGCCTACCTACGAGCTGCCACACCGCCAACCCGTGCAATACAGCTGTGTCTGGTTCTTTGTAGATTGTAAACTCACCATCGCATGGCTCCACAATTATCGGCCAGCATCGTAAATTGTATTTATCATCAGTTTTTTTCTTATGTAGATAAAGGATAGCACCAATATTTAGACTGAACTGTTATGGTGACTGTGAAGTGTGATATTTTTTGTGTTTTTGTGACTGGAAGGTACGTCAACTCTGTTTTTCAAAACTGTGAGCGATGCTGTCTGCTATCATTGTTTTTGTTATAATTGTTCGCTCTGTTTTTGTGACAAGTGCTTTTGCTCTTCTGTTTTTGTGACTGTGAAGTAAGCAGTGTAACTTTGAAAATGTCTGGGAAGGCCAAGGCATCCAAGACAACTGTCTCTCTGATGTGAAGCTTGACATTGTTTAGCAGCATGCAACTCCCCAGAGGACATGTGATGATGACCGGACTTATCCAATATGATGTGGTGAGTGTCCTTTACTTATTCTGTACTTGAATCCCAAGTTATAATGCACCCTATCTACGATATTTCACCTTGCGATGGGTTTTCAGAAACGTTACCCCATCGTATCTCGGGAGTTACCTCTACAGTAGAGAGGCAATATGCCCCCTGTATAGGGTTAAGGAAGACAGCATACATCATGTGAGGGACTATGTACTTAAGAGACATTTCTGTCATGTTCACCACCCCTGAGTAAAACTAATGGTAGTGAGGTGTCAAAAGTAAGATAATAATACGAGGCAGTTACTAGATTCCAGTAGGCTTCTTTATGTCTCCACTTTCGCTCTCAAATTGTTGTTATTGTTGAAAACATTGTACAGTATACTGTACTTCATTATATCATAACATAGTTTTATCAAAGTAAATGCATCATACAGTACAGTATTATGATATGTTCAAAACAATATTATCATTACATTAAGCATGTCAATTAAACTCATTTGCCTCTCCTACACAATCTTGCCATAAATTTAAAAAAAAATTTATATTAAGAAAGTATTTTATATCAACCTGAACCACTTACCTTTGAACTACGCCAGCAACGACAAAATACAGCTTTATTCCCTAAATCTTCGATGTCTACCGAGTCCACAACTTTTGATTCTCCCTTACGCACAGAAAGGTTTACTGGACAACCAATCTGTAAAATCAAAACAGTACAGGGAAAGTGAGACTGATATTACCATTATCATCTTTATCTTCTACTAGACCATCCACCTGCATGGCCCCTTCATGTTTTGCTTCTTTTAATTTCTTGCATAATATTCTTACTCATCATCTTCTCTGGTCAGCTCACTAGCCACTTAGGTGGTCAGTCAGTTCTCTGTTATACATGGTTGGCAAGTACTGGGCATGTAGCTATGGGCTCCTGAATGTACACCCAACAAAAAACTATCCTTACATTACAGTGTTAGACAAAATGACACATTGGAGAAATGAATTTGACCATTATTCTAAGGTCTTGCCTCACGTTGGTAACTCTGCTCTCCTGATATGGATAGAAATAAAAGACTAGTGACTTTTCCAGTCGTTTCAATAAAAAAAATTTTTTTTTAGAAGTGTTAGCAAAATGTTTATATTAAATGCGAATGCAAAAATAAATGAATTATATAAGTAAGACATCCAAGTGTGCCATATACTGACAAAAATTTTAAGATAATAGTTAGTGTTGTAAACCTACATTTCTGTACATGCTTATCATTGCAATACAGTACATTGTCACATTATCTTATCTTGGCCAGTGTTCATGTTATAAATTATCAATGATGATAGATTATTGGTGACATATGAAACCCAAAGGCAGATGTTTCAGGGTGATTATAGTGACATGAAATGGAAATGAATGACCTGAATTTAATATTGCAGGGAGCAGAAGACAAAGTCGTGAATACATGGAAGCTATACAGTTCATGCTGGACATACTTTTGTTGCAGTGAAAGTGTGTAATAGTTGTAATACTGTAGTAAATTTTAATGACACTATTATCATCATTTTTGAATCATTAATTTGATAGGTGGTTATTTAATTCTTGTAAATGAATTGTATTAAGAGATAACTTTTATCATTAATACATTAGTGTAGATACCCCCGGCCCCTACTAGTCCTTCGAAGCGTAGATGCCACCAACTGGGCTGTAGGGTGTTGTTCGGTGGGACTTTGCAGCTGTTCCCATGCCTCCAATGCACTATCAATTATTTCCAAAAGATGATCATGAAATCCATGTGATATGAAGGTACAGTAATATCTCCGTTAGCCGGAATTTTCTGGAATATTCTGGATTTGGGAAAAATTTTCCAAGAAAATTTAAATTCCGGCTATCGGAGAGTTCCGGGTTTGAGGGATTCCGGCTAACGGAGATATTGTAGTGGATATTCCCCCCTACAACAGCCTAGCCCCCTAGAGTCCGCCAAGTTTCTCTGACAAGCATCGCCGTCTAGACACGCGCCAAGTCTAGAAGTCTAGACAAAAGGGGGGGGGGGGTCGACACCGGCAATGCGTACTTCCGCCCCCTGCCTCGCCGTATAGGGCACATTCAACCTAGAGCTGTGCAACACGCAACACCTCCTCTAAAGAAGCTCCTGCACAGCAACTCCTCTACCACACAGCAACTTCCCAGCACCAGACTGTTTTGTATACAGTATAATATATTTATATAAGAAAACCACCATAGCTGAGTTTCCCTTCTCACCTCCATCCTATGTGTGATTCCACATCACGAAACCCCACAATATTACTGTACGTATATATAAAGGCTTCTTGCATATGGTAGCTTAAAAAAATAAAATAAAAATATTTAAACAGTAAAGTTACAATAATAAGACAAAAAATAGGTTACCTTTTTATCAATCAGCGTTTTAACGCCAAAGCCAACAGCAGCACAGGCAATGCCAAATGGTAGAAGTGATGCCCATTCAGATGCTGAAGAAAGATTAAAGTACTATAATGAAACAGTAGGGTACAGATATAACATTTAGCTACACAATAGGTTGGGTCAGGAGACTAGACACCCAAATAAAATGCTATAAAAATCATGTCACTCGATAACTATAAAACTAAGATTATATTTATTTATAATAATAAAAGAACGTGTCTGTCTGTCCATTCCAGTCAGATCTCCAAAACAGAAGCATTTAGAGACCTGGAACTTTACACACACATTACAAATGTCCGAAGCATGTGCATCTTGGTATTACTATCGACCACGGACCCCTGAGTAGCCCGGACAAGAACAAAAAATCTCCCCCGATGAGAAATCACCACAGCGATTGTGGGAGGTGGTTATCTATGTTAGGGAGAAGAAATTGTGGCACTCAAGGTTAGGTTAGGATATGTTATAGTGTACTGTATTAAGTTAGGCTGGGTTATATTAGGTTGAGGTGATTATCCACGTCAGGAAGGACAAATTGTGACAGTCAAGGTTATACAGTATGTTGTAATGTATACAGTACCTAACCCATGTTAAGTCAGGTAATTGTGCTAGTACAGGTACCATAAAAAAATTAATTATGCTAAATACATGACAATGTTTAAAAACAAAAGTACAGTAGCTATTGTTCAGTATATTTTAATCCTTTTAAGTGTGAAATGTAGCAAAATGACAAATTATTTTTCCACTTACAGAATTACTTTTTCTTGAACTGCAATGTATGAATAAAAGAAGACATAATGTACCAGCACCATTTTTTGTACTTCAAGAACCAAGAGAGGGTTCAAACTGAGTGCCGCATCAAACCCAACCTTAGACTAACAGTTACAGATATCAGTGTCATTTTGGGTAATATTTACTATGAGTATTATGTGTAAACCACCCATTTTAAACTAGTTATGTATTGAAGACAACTTCACTTTTATGTCTAGAACACCGTAAGTTAGGTATAAGAATTGGTATTTTCATTGTTTCTGTTTTCTGATTTGTTTCACCCTGAATACTACTAATCTACATCCACCCACAATGTCCCCCCCAATACTATTTTTTGTTTAATACATTTAAAACACAAAAATTATACCAGCGACCATTCCATATTTTTTACTGCTTCCAGTGATGGCTACATTTTGTGATTTATATGATATAAGATAAAACATCTTAACTTAACCTAAATTATATTACATCATTAGGTAAGGGTGGGTAGATTAGGTTGGTTCATCTTTTGTTGTACGTATACCGTAAATTATACAATGTATTGTATCAGTCCCCATAAGTACTGTATTCAGTTGCTGTTAAACATTCGACTATATTAAAAAAGAGGTTGTCTTCAACACATAACCACCGTATACTCTTTCCACGCTTATCCGGTCAGTAAGCCACGCCCCTTTTCTATACTAATAGCCAATTGGTTCATAGAAAATTCAAACTAAATGTGTTCACAATTGGTAAGCAGACCTGTTATTATATAAAATAATGTTAAATATCTGAACTATCAAAATGCAGATGATTTCAAGGCATTAGCACTTCAGAGAGGATGTTAAAATTTTTAAAATATTTATCAAGGAAGGTCGATATAAACACGGGGGGAGGTAAATTGCTCATGGGAACCAATCAGCTATTTGTAGATATAGACGAGGGGCGTGGTTTACAGGCCAGGTTAGCGTGGAACAGGTATAGTCAAGACAAAGGTGGCTTATGTAGGATACTCATAGAACAATACAATATTAAACGTGTTTTCCTTAACACAGTAAGCCCTACCTATGTACAGTACTGAAAATTATTTACTGAAGTGACTATTACCACGTTAATTGTGATATACTATACAGTAGTCGGTGCCATCTAACCTAACTATGTATCACCAAACTATTAAATTGTTACGTGTATACAGTATATAAGAGGTGCACAGGATAACGATTAACATTATGGAAACTTTTCCATAAAAGAAAAACTACTAGTTCTTTTTCTTAAGAGCATCCAAAAAATGGTTAAGGAAACAATTTTTACCAAACCAAACCAAACCTAACCCTAAGGGACCAAACCCATCGACTCTTATATAATTTTTCCAACCTAACTTAACATCAAGTAGAAGAAAAGGAAACAAAACAGATAAAGAAAACCTAACCCAAGTTATTGTCACAATACAGGTTGGTAATTGTGAAATGTGAGAATAGTGAACATGGACCAGCACCAACTATACCTACCAGTACATAAAAAAAACGTGATAATACAGTAGTCACTTTATTCCTTTATTTAGCTTTTAGCTTGCTATGGTAAATGAAAAACCAATTACAGTATCATCAAACCATATCTGATTTTACCAAGAACAGACAAAGTTTTGCAACACTTACTGGGCCATTCTGTTTCATATCAGAGACAATTCAGTAACAGTTTATTTTAATTTCCCAAGTGTGTACAGGCAGCGTCCTATTTTCTGAAAGATGACTATCTGGCAAGATGATGATAAACATTCAGAAAGTTCAGTGATGGGAATTTCCAAATATCCTGAAATTTAATATTTTTGAATATCAAGAGTTCATAATCATTTTTTGTTAAAACTGGAGTAGAATAATGTGTGTATATCTTAAATTAAGGTGTATAAAGCTACAGGTCTGGAATTCCATAACCATTCATACCAAGATGAAGCATAAACTACATACTGCAGTTACACATACTGGAATAAAGGTTGATGGGCTGGGCTTGGGATGGAATGATCTAGTAAAGACAGACTTCTGAGATCATGCATCTACTGCACCTGTAATGTGGGCCGAGACTAATCTTACTGACAAATTACGGCAAGTTGTCTATCGATATAAGGAACTGAATAACTCGAGGAACTTAACCTCAGGCAAGAGACAACGTAACAAGCTCAATATCTCGGCTATCAGGAGAGATAAATGTGAAGAGATTTACCCAGATAATAAATTCAATTCTTATTCAGCCTTTCAACAATACATTTGAAGCCATTTATGTGTTTGTTAAATTATTCTCAGCGTCACCATTACCAAGACCACTATCGATGAGGTACATTATTTCTGCGATGACCGAGACAATTCTTAAGATACATTTAGTCAAGCAGTTAGTAGATGACATTGATATAAAACACATCCTTACTAAAAATCTCGAAAATACCCACATTACGATACAAATACCTTTAAGATTTTTATAGAATTCCATGATGAAGATGAGTTTCACGATGAGATCAGCTGCTGGTGCCTGGTGGTCTTGCGTAGTGCCCTACTGCACCTCTCCAAGAGTCGATGCTCGGCACAGTCTCCTTGCCTGACGTCAATAGTGCTTTAACCAATGATAACCTGACTTTTGCTCTTCCTTGTTTCTGATAGGTTTATATTTGCTTCTGCTCATTTGTATTTTTGTGCTATAATGCAACGCTATGTGGCGGGAGCTTTAAATGTGACTATGTTAATTTTTGTAGTCTTCATTTAGAGTTACTTCCTACAAACTCAGTAATAGTCCCACAATTCGTACCAATCAGCACTATCGCCTCGATTTTCTCACTGTTAGAGACTCCTACCTAAGGGAGAGCCATTTACTACCGTATGCCACCCCGTGACCCCTGCTTGTACTGTACCAGATCATTTTTATGTTATTCTGGTACGACACTGGTGGGTGACAGCACAATTAAAATATCAGTCGTTAAATGTGATAGTGATTAAAAAACATTTACCTCACTTCAAGTTACTCAGTTTAAACATTATTAAAATGTGATCTTAAAGCGACTGGGACCAGTGCCGGATTAGATCTGTGGAGGCCCATGGGCAGCCTCTTTGTGGAGGCCCCCCTCATTATAACTACCCAAGAGGGTGGGGTGGCGAGTGAAGCGTGCCTAAACATCTGGGAGTTCCGGGGGGCGCTGTAAGCCCCCCAGGGAAAATTTTGAAATTTGTACACTTCTTTGGATAATTTTGAAGCCGTGATGGAATAGATAAACATGAATTTTAAAGAATGAAAATAAAAATAATCCAAATGAATAAACAAATAAATAAAATATTGTTATATGTGGAGGCCCCCAGATTGTGGAGGCCCCTGGGCAGCTGCCCACTTTGCCCACTCCTGAATCCGGCCCTGGTGGGATCTCTTAAATCAGTGTCTCAACTGGCACAGAACTGAAGGAACTGATGTCTGCATTACCAATAAAGAAAGATATGAAAGAAGGTCTTACTAGGGCAGCACTGTAAATAGTGCCTCCAAGAGTCTCCTTTAAATTCATAGGTGCAAAAAGATGCAGGCATTTCAGAGACCTTTATTAATTACACCGGTTCGATGCATCGTATATAGTTTGATATAATTTGTGAATGTATGATACAAAATTAAATCCTTTATATATACAGTGTAAATCAATCAAGAACCAATACCAGGAAATTTATACCTTTATAACCCAGAGACCCAAGATATGTACAATAAGTTATTAAAAAATATTATAAAAAAGAAAATATGCACCTTGACAATCTAATTATTATACCTCAGGTGAATTAGGACCATCTAAGTAATTTTCTTAAAACTACTTTAATATTTTGTGTTCTCAGTGATGTATTCTCCCTTGATTACACTGGAAACAAGTTAACTTAATGAAGTGTTGTTCATTGTCTGCCGTAGGAGCCCTTCTTTAGCCACAACTAGCACTAGGGCTGGGTGCCTCCACTAGCCACTCCCAGCACTGGGACTGGGTAGGCTACCTCCACTAACCACAACCAGCACTAGGACTGGACTCATCTACACACTTCATCAGTTCCATGCTCCATAGGTTTCCTTCTGGACACCTGAAGGAACATTGCACGTAGACCTGAAAAAAAATGGAGCAGTGATTAGTTTAAAATAAATCTTTGTCCACCTACTGAGAACAGCATTAGGGTGGATAGTTGTTAGTGCCTGTGACTTTGGCTTAATTCTAGTCCAAAAGTATTTAGTAATGTTTCTCCATTTTATAAGAGTAGAATAGTTTGTGTGTGTGTGGGTGGGGGGGTTACAGTGGTCTCTATACCAACGATTTTGTTTTCATCGTCCTGTGTGACATCAATAGTTTTCGTACAGCCCAAGTACTGGCGCCAGTCTCACCCAAGCTGACTTTCATTTGGCAGCAGTTCTAACAAATCGCAATTCCAACTTTACACTCACTTTACCATAGCGACCATTATAACTTTAACATTTTTACTGAATTTATTCCGCTCTTCTGTACATAGTAAATCCAAAAAAGCCGGAATGTCTAACCTTGTTCTCAGAGCTGACAAGACACGCCCATCGTACTCACTCACTTTTCACTCAATTTGATTCAAACATAATTACGATGTATGTTTCCAAATATGTTCATTATCGACGGGGTAACATTATGGACTATCTCGCTGAAAATGAAAGAGAAAATGGATACACAAATTAATTTTTTTTAGAGGAATACTTGAAAAATCATGATTCGTTATAAAAAAAACTCGCCATGCCAGTGGAGTTACACAGGTACACCACTTCCCCAGGACACATCTTCTCGAAGGTGAGGGCGGTGGTTGTCGTGGCTGTAGTGGTGGTAGTGGGCATGGCTGTACTGGAGGTAGTAGTCATCAATGTAGTGGTGTTAGCATTGGTCGTTGCCGTAATGGAACATATCACATTGTAAGCCCAGTCACAGTACTGTGGAATAAATATAATATATAAATAGATATATTTAAAAGGTAAAATAATTTTCTATATATAATAAAAAGAAATAAAAGACTTTAAAATGTATATAAATTTCATATTTCATTACCATCATAATCTGGCTCCAGAGCGTGTCGGCGGGGCAGGTTTTATGGAAGGCTCGGCCAGCATGGCACTGGTAGAATTTTTGACAGTCGCACGGGTCCGCCCACAACCCGTCACCAGGACACACGACTGAAACAGTGTCAACTTATGTATCACACCGGACCGGACATTAGGGCCCAAACATCATTACTACTGTAAAAATTTTCAGTGAGATGCCTGTGGGTGTTGTAGTTTGTTACGAAAGTGTCGGGTGTAGTCACACAATCAACTCACAGTTTTGTGTGCAGGGGCCAGAAGGTGGTTGTGTTGTTGGGTGGCTTGTGGGCGTTGGTGCGTGTGTGGGAGTTGAGGTTGGAGCAGGAGTGGAAGACTGTGCACATCCCTCTTGACACGCTGGGGTGGTGGTGGTCCCGGGCGCTGGAGTGCCTGGCTCTGTCCTCGGGCCTTGTGTTACTGCACAGGAACTTGAGTTTAGTAGCTCAGAACTCAGTGTTTTCATTAATGGATACCTGGAAAATTACCATCAGTAGATTACTATAGTCTGTGGCGGTGTATAATCATTTACATATGCTCGTCCCCATGAGGCGGATATACTGCAGGAAAGGAGGAACTTACAGGGAGATTGGGAGTATTGTTAAATGTAAAGGATGTGAGAGGTGCGGAATTAAATCACCCTCCTGGGGACGTGGTGGACTGAGAAGCAGCCACTTTTTCCGCGGAAGCAAAGTCCAAGTAGCCCAAAATCCCGACAATAATGACGAACAGTGGAAGAGATGATCACCGCACTCGCCCTAGATCGTGTTGTAATTATATAGTAACTACTCAACTGAATTTACAACATCCATTTGTGTCGACCGAAAATGGAACAAACCTTCGATCATTAAAGTAATTATATTTTTCCTAAAAAATTACACCCCCTCTTAAACACAAAAATTAAGTTTAAACAAGAACTTACTTTCCAGCATTGCAGGAACCACGAAAATCTTCCAGGTCGAGGGCCCACACCATGGCCCCGCCAAGTTCCCGCATTTTTACATACAGAGCCTTTTTGCGGACCATATCCACGTCATCGTAACCGACCCACTGTTGGCCACTGTAAGCGTATGGACCCATCGTACCAGTTGCGTCCTGTTCACAGTACCAAAACGACCTGCATTAAGCTCCTCAGTAATTTATGAGAAATACCAATTTTTTTACATTGCTTTGAACGTTTTTAATATAAAGACATGGCAGGTGATTAATTAAAGAGTTAGTGCTTTTCAATACCTTCGTCCTAGTTGGTTTAGGCGAAGATACGGCAAGAAGAGGAAATACTGATGTGATGAGGGGCAGAATAGAGAGTCAACTTAATTTTCTTCTAATACTCCGTTTCCCCAGAACCATCATCTCAGGTCAATCATCGGTCTTACCATCCTTGCTTCTTTTCACTATCCTAATCTTCGTCAGTTCCATCCCCTTGTTTTTAACACCTCTAGTTTGTACCGACAACTAAATCCTAGATTGACTTGTGGCGACTCCTCCCTGCACCAGCTCTCATCACCTTAGGTCCCACCCCTAACTATAGACACCACTGGTAGCCTCCACTGATAGCCTCCACTGATAGCCTCCACTGGTAGCCTTCACTGATAGCCTCCATTGGTAGCCTCCATAGGTTTCCTCTACTATGGCTGCCTTTCTTCACTCATACACCTGTACTTGTTACCCCTGGTGGTCCTGAGGTTGTATCTGATAATTAATTAATCTGTCACACGAACTAGTGATGGTCAACACCGCGTCATACACTCTATATTTTTTCTAACCCTTGTTTGAAAACTTTGTGAAATAATTTGCCCCAGTTCTCTTTAATGAATTATATCAGACACATAAATTTAATTTGATTATAGCCTCGTTTTCCGAAACTTCGACGAGTAATTGTTCCACAGAAGTATCTCTTGACCGCCATTATTCAAATAGTCATAATTATAATCTAAGCTGTTTCTAATATTTTTGTTATCATCCAAGCAGCTATAACTTTATGATACTAATGGAGTTTCTATATTACAATTTGAAATACAAGACGTAACTTATTTGATACCAATCTAAAGTTAACAGATAATCTAGATACAAGATAACTCACAGTGACCACCGTCCATCCGCTCTGTACTTTGGAACAGATCTCCAAATAGCTAAGGAAACCTGCCGAATTAGTGATGGTGCCAGCGGTGCCGGGGCCAGAGGCTGGGGCCGGGGGTATTGTTTTGGAGGTGCTGAGGGTGAATGAGCGACCATAGAGCGGCACACCCAGCACAAGTTTATCTGCTGGGGCGCCTTTATTAATCCAGAAAGATACTGCAAAGTCAGAGTAAAAATTGTTAATATCGTTCTCTGGTTTGTAGAGCGGGGAGTGGTGGTCAGCCTGAGTCTCCCACGACCCATGGTAGTCGTATGTCATCAGGTGAATAAAGTCCAGGTACTGGCCGAGCACCGGGATATCGTAGCCCTCATTGCCCAGCTTCTCCGAGGCTCCAACCGCCGCCGTCACCATCAAATTATGGGACTGGAAAGCAGTCTTCAATTCCTTCACGAAAATGCCAAAATTTTCTTTGTCTTGCGGTCGGCCGCCGTCTTCATAAGATGGATATTCCCAGTCTAGGTCCAGCCCATCGAAATCATACTTTTGTAGGAAGGGAATCACGTCATCGATGAAGTTCCGTCTTCGAGTCTGTGAGGCAACAAGGTCTGAGTACTTATAGCTACCTCGGGAATCAGTCCAGCCACCAATGGCCAGCAGCGTCTTCAGTCCCGCTTTCTGTTGTTTGAGGTTTGTAAACTTTTTAAAATTGCCAATACCATAATTTTCTGACAAGTCAAGATATTCATCATGGGCCTTGATTTTGTATGAGGTGCTGTCGAGGACGGCAAAGGCATACACAAGATGAGTGCACACGTTCAAGTCGATGTCCTCCACTGTGTATTTACCATCGCCTGGTAGGAGATGTAAATCATATTAGTGAATATTTCATCAATGTCTCGATATGGTTATGTAAGACCTAAATTTAAGACTTCTTTCATCCTACCCTGTCAGTGAAACATCTGCAGCTTTATATGTGATAAGACATTTATTATACAAGGATTATATTATGAATCTGTAAGCTGTGAAAAATCCTTACCACTTCTCCAGTACGCCCAATTAGAATAGTAACAGGTGACGACTTTATTACAGGAATTGTTTCCAAGGCGGTGAAGGTTGCTCTCAGAGTCCACCTCGCCGCCAGCCACACCCTGCACGCCCTTGGAGCTGAGCAACACCAGGGCCGTCACCACCAACCTCATCACCAAAAGGGGCATAATTTATTTGGTGACGCCCCACAACCTGTTAACCAGGATGCCTTGATTAGTACACACTGATGAAATTCTTGCTCGTCAACAATATCAGAAAATGTTACAAACAAGACCAGAGACCGGGAACTATATACCGATTCTCCTTAACCTAATTTAACCTAACCTAACCTAACCTACCAACACTACCAACACTCACCACACTACCAACACTCACCACACTACCAACACTCACCACACCTCACCACACAACCACACTACCAACACTACCAACACTACCACACTCACCACACCACCACACTACCAACACTCACCACACTACCAACACTCACCACACACACTCACCACCTACCAACACTACCAACACTCACCACACTACCACACACACCAACACTACCAACACTACCAACACTCACCACACTATTGACACTACTCACACTACCAACACTCCACCACACTCACCACACACTCAACACTCACCACACTACCAACACTCACCACACTACCAACACTCACCACACTATTGACACTCACACCATTGACACTCACACACCACCAACCTCACCACACTCACCACACTACCAACACTACCACACACTCACCACACCACCACACCACCACACTGACCACACTACCAACTACCAACCTCACCACACACTACCAACACTCACCACACTCACCCACACCACACTCACCACACTCACCACACTCACCACACACTCACCACACTCACCACACACTCACACACCACACTCACCACACTCACCACCAACACTCACCACACTCACCACACTACCAACACTCACCACACTACCAACACTCACCACACTACCAACACTCACCACACTCACCACCACACTCACCACACTCACCACACTCACCACACACCACACTCACCACACACCACACACTACCAACACTCACCACACCACCACACTACCAACACTCACCACACTACCAACACTCAGCACACTATTGACACTCACCACACTACCAACACTCACCACACTCACCACACTACCAACACTCACCACACTCACCACACTACCAACACTCACCACACTACCAACACTCACCACACTACCAACACTCACCACACTACCAACATTACCATCACCTACTGCTTGAAATTATAAACATTTATGCAGTATAATATTTACACTAAACTAAGACAAATTACAACCACCATTCATTATACAGTATAAAGAATAATATATACATGGCGCTAAAACCTTCAATAAAACGTTTACCTTAAAACTCAAGTGAAATGAGTGTGTGTGGTGTGGTGTGGTGTGGTGTGGTGTGGTCGGGAGGGAGAGCGGGCACCGACTGGCAGTGGAATGGTAACGCTTCAACCTCGGTGCTCTTTAGAATATGATATATAGGTAAAAATATTACTTTAAGTCTCCCCTTAGTAACACCTGCCATCACCCTATTTAAGTAAAAACCTTGACATTTATATAACATCAATGATGGTTTATGGTATTATAGCGTCACGTTAAAGGATTTTTTTTCTTTATTAAGTTGTTAATTTTACGTGTCTGTCATTATTAATCTTTCATATTTAAGACGGTTGGTGTTGACTGTTGTTGTTGTGGTTCACCAATATATTAATAAATGGTTGTAATATTAGATAATTTAATGAAGGTCCTTTTAATTTTCTAATAAACTTTATACCCCTAAAAGAAGTAAACATTGCAATCACGTTAACTTGTGGCTTCATTAACTTGGCTATATGACAGAGCACGTAAAGTGTCGTAGCGGGTCCAAGGTTTAAGACATAATGTGGTATTTGTCTATTCAATGGGTATTGTTATTTTATTATAAGCAATTGCCGTGTGTCTTGTTTATTCTGCGTATCTATTTTTTCCTGTTTACGATCTTCCTGTAGTTCCTTAAACCCTTCACAGCGGGAGGTTACCCTAAACTGAACAAAATCGTCTGGGGGTGGCCAGAATAAAATAGCAAGTGCGTGACAAGCGGTGAAAGGGTTAAGTTAACGATGAATATATATTAAATATCTATACAATGATGATTAAACTATGTGCTAACTGAAATTGTATTGTGGCACCGAAGGGAATAATTGTTAAGTATAATGTATAGTCTATGATTAACAGTACTTTATCCACCTAGTATTACCAATGTCAAGGCTGGTGTTGTATTACTTAGAATAACTTACTTTAATAAATATTATATCAATTCACTGTAAAGCGTAATATCCTGTTTGATGACATTTATTGCCCTAATATTTGGTGAAGTTGTTTATTCAATACAGAGTATGTATAAGTTCCTAAAACATATACATTGCTTTATATATGAGAGTTAAATACTTGATATATGACATGCTTGTTTTGGTTTTGTTGATTGGGCCTCTTGAAGACATGTTGGTGTTTGAGCAACTAAAACATAGTTCAAGAAGTCATAATAAGCCATACTAGTTCCGTCTCTCTATGGACTGCAACAACTCGATGTCTTATAGTTGAACATACTAGGTCCGGGTACTCTATGCCTCGGGAAGTGTTGAAAAGTCACAAGTATCCTAGTTTCCGTGTAGACTGTTTTCGTAAGAGTGAACTCACTTAAAATATACTTTAATTATTATTTACATCCAATTTAGTGTAGAATCTAATATTAATGATGGTATGATAAGGAGGGTTTAATCTTCTTGTCATTATAGACTTACAGCCATTCACAAGCCATAACGAACGTTATATAGCCTACAGCTGAACCATCCTGGGTGATTGACTCTGAAACACTAGGATTCTTTCGTGGATTTTTAAATAAATATATACTGGATATATATTTTTAGATTATTCGCTTTTTATTTCTACTTCAAAATAATCGGTTCATCACAAAATAAGATACAAAGTTCTGAATATTATACGTGTAAAAATATTAAAATGCCATTTTATATTTATGTTAATGAACAATAATAATTACCGCAAACCTGAAAAAGCTATCTTTATAATTTGTTTGTTTAATGTTAAGTAATACAAACACCGGATAAATGTATATGCCGTGTATAATTTGTTCACACCAAAAAGAGAAAAAAAAATACATTGAATGACGTGACTAGGAGAGCAGTGATAGATTTATGAGAGAGAGAGAGAGAGTACAGGTGTTCCTTACTTGTGAAACCTTGAATAGACTGTAGCGTAGTGTATGTGGCGTGGCCAGTTGTCTAATTCCTCTTTGTGTTTGTCTATTTTCTCTTTGTTAGGCTCACATACACACGTACAATAAGGGAGATCTCGCACTCAGGATGGAGGTGAGAAAGGAAAGTCACAATGGCGTTTTCTTTATATCTATTAAATGTACAGAGTAGTCAGGTGCTGCGAAGTTGCTGCGTAGTAGAGGAGTTGCTGTGGAGGAGCTTCTTCAGAGGAGGTCTTCTCTGCTTAGGAGATGGTGTTGTATGCCCTCACGGCGATTTTTTTTTAGATTTGTGGGAATATTACCTACACGGACCTTAAGCTGAAATGCTGGTCCACCCACTGCTGGGGTAAAACACCAGCATCTTTTTAGTTAACTGTACATCTCCACCACTAGCGTGGGGGGTGGATGCTCGGTAAGAAACTGTAGGGTTTCTTGAGAGTGGTTGGTGGTTAGCATTTTGGCAACCTTATATGCTGTGATAGGGGGTTGTATGTTTCTCCTAGCTAATTGTGTTTCAGGGCACTCTATGAGGTAGTGCTGCAGTGAGTTTTCGGCTCCGCTGTCGCAGGTCTTGCATATGCGCTGCTCTGCTGGTACTTGTACAATGATTTCCCATATGCATGGGTATCCCAGTCTCAGTCGGTGGAAGTTGACTTCTTCCCTTCTTGTTATATCCTTCATGAGTGGTGGTCTCTCATAATTCGTGACCAGATAGTACCACCTGGCCGATCGTGATACTGGTGTTAATCTTCTATGTTTGTCTATTTTCCACTGGACCGTTCGTTTTTTTGTGGCCTACTTTATCTGCTCCTGACTGGGCGGGATGTTCATCTCAATGTTTCGCTGTTCTAACGCAGCCTTGGCTTCAGCATCAGCTCGTTTATTCCCTGGGATTCCGATATGACTGGGCACCCAGTTAATGATAACTTGCCGATCTTGTAGTTTTAACCCTTGCAGTAGGCCAACAACGGATGTTATGAGATGAATGTTGTCTCTTGGCTCTCTGCATTGTAGCGCTTCAATAGCACATCGTGAGTCAGTGTGTATTACAACGCCTTGTTGACTGTTTATGGAAGTGTGTCTTAGGGCTCCAAGTATGGCAGCTAGCTCAACTTGCAAAGTAGAGCATCCATCTGAGGTTCTCCAAAGGGACGTGTTACCTCCTTCTATGGTGAAGGCTGCTCCTGTCTTCGTACTGGTGGGCTCTACGGAACCGTCTGTGTAATACACTGTACTATTGTGTGGTGTTAGAGCCTTCATGTTTCTCGAATGAATGAATAAAAGCTAGTGACAGGGGGGAAAGAGGTTCAGGGGAAGGATAAAGGGAGGATTGAAGTGAATTTTAGAAGGAGAGAATAGGTGCAATGGTTAAACACCGCTTGCGTGAGGGGGTAGGCAATGTGCCCGGATGGTGTAACAATCACAATAAGGACGAGGCAGGATCGGGCAGGCAAAGGCAGGGAGGATTTATATCTTTCTGCCGGATCAAAAGTTGAAGTGCAAAGATGAGAAACGCTGCTGATTGGCTGATATGAAGGCGGCAACTGACCAATCACCGTACAGTTCGAACGCGAGTGCTGATTTGTGGAACTCGCCGCTGATTGGCTGGGAAGCGGATGGCAAGTGACCAATCAGCAGTTGTAGGGGAGAGTATCCACTCCAAGACCACTCACATTGGGAAATAGGGCGGTCAGTGGCAGCACGTGAGGAAGTATCAGCAGCATAATTCAACCATGGAAAGAGCAAAACTATTAATTTGCGGCATATAAATTCATCACAACACTCTCCTACAACTGTTATTAGCGCCAATGTCTGCACCCAAGTTCGTAAGGTAACTTTGAAAGTGTCAACTCCTGTTATGTATTTGGCCAGTCTCCTCCAGTTGGGTCTTTTTTTGTGGATGATTACTACCTCACCAGGTGTCATGATGAAAACCAGGTGTCATGATTGATTGATTGTGGTAATTACATCCCTGGCGGCGCAAAAGGTTAGGTCATATTCGCTGAATTAAACCTAAAGCTTGGAAGGTTAAAACCTTTACCATGAATAATAAATAGCATTGAGCTTTCATAAAACAAATTAAACATTAAAAAATAATATTTAAAGCTCGTGTAGAAGGCTGGTTTCCTCCACGAAGGAGAGGATGTCCCCTCCTACTCTACCTGCTCCCTCCCCAACACCAAAGACAAACGGTAAGTCCTGTCTTCCCCTCTCTGCGACACTTGGGGAGGTGCTTATGAGGGGTACTCCACCAGGAGGTCACGAGTCATGTTGTAAACCCAAGGGTCATCACTTTACTTTATCCACTTCACCATGAATCTGCCTATTAGCCACTTGGGCTGTTGGTTACATCTCTGTTAGGCACTGTTGGCAAGTAGATATCTTCATTAGACAGAACAATTGATGCAGAGCACTTCTGGGAATGAAAGATTTCCGGGTAATGAGACGAATCTCATACCCGGGAAAAAAATCCTCTATCCCCGGAGTTTTCCAGATATTAGGAACATTTTCTCGAAATTTTCCAGAAAATGCACCCCATAGAAGATCGTTCCGGTTGAGAAGGATTCCGGCCAACGGAGATATTACTACTGGGAAATGACATGTACTGTCTCCAGAATGTATCTGTTTATGTGCCAGCATTAGTTAAGTCTGGTCTTTAATGAGCTCACACTCAGTGCCATCACAAAGCTCTGGCAAATTATTCCCAGAGTTCACAACTCTCTCCAAAAAGGGCTGTGACCTCTAGTGGTGCGAGTATCCACTATCTTTCGGTATGAAACTTGACTAGGTAATGTCCTCAGAGGTGCTTATAAACTTCTATTAAGTCACCCATTGCTCGTCTATAGTATAAGCTATATAGGCAACTGCAGGTATTCTAATCTCTCTGGGTACCTGAGGTGCTTGTGTGCAGGCACCAGTCTGGTGGTTCTCATCTAGGTATATAGCCACGCCCTTCTAGCCTATTTGCTTGATTTACCTTCTCATATTGGCCCGAGAACTTCAGTTTGTTGTCAACATGCACACCTTAGACCTTTTCACACTTGGGCTCAATGTTTGTTTCATTGGGACATGTGATACGTCTTCTTATTGCTGGTACGACCTAGGTGCATCCGTTGATATTTCGTGACATTGAATCTTAACAGCTATTCTTTTGACCATTTCTGAAGCTGATAAAGATTTTACTGTAGCTCTTTACAGTCCGTTTGGTTCTTAATTTCCCTGAAAAACTTAGCATCGTTGGCAAACATTTGTATGGAGGAGTGTGTATCCTCTGGCAAATCATTTGTGAAACAAAAAGCAACAACTGATCCAGTAAACTGCCCTGTGGTACCCCGCTTGTTCCGGGTACACAGGACAATTTCGTGTCAATAATCACCACATGCTTCTTGCAGTCACGAACAAAGTCTTTTATTCACACAACGACGTTCCCCTGAATCCCGTACTCTTCCAGTTTAATTTTCAGTTGTTCGTGAGGAATGGAGAGAAAAATTAAGCTTCATGTTTACTAACATTAATTTAATAAAATTATAAAAATATGGCCAAAAAATAATTCAGTACACAAGATTATTTTATAACATTTTACACTAACATTACATAAATAATTTAGTTTAATATTCACCAATCTCAAACCACAAATTTTAAACTCTTTTTAAAAAGTTGATAGCAAAATGAATCATCATGATTCTTTATAAAAAAGATATATTAATTCAATGTTTCACCAACACGAGTCATACATTAAACTCCACTCAGCTTTACTCAGGTATAATTTACATCCTTCTAACTGGCTACTTAAGGACAACTGATTCCTCTTGACTCAGTACCCAGCAGTGCCGGATTTAGACCTGTGGAGGCCCATGGGCAGCCTCTTTGTGGAGGCTCCCCTCATTATAACTACCCAAGAGGGTGGGGTGGCGAGTGAAGTGTGCCTAAATATCTGGGAGTTCCGGGGGACGCTGTAAGCCCCCCCCGGGAAAATTTTGAAATTTGAACACTTCTTTGGAGAATTTTGAAGCCATATGCAGTTATATTGAGGTTATTAGAACGTTGATAAATTTTTAATTAACTGTATATTTATTGATAGTGTATAAATTCCCAACACACACACACACACACACACAAAAGTGAGACATGACTGGAGTCATTCATGTGGTTTCAAGTCGACCAGCCCTGATATGTGGAGGCCCCTGGGCAGCTGCCCACTTTGCCCACTCTTGAATCCGGCCCTGGTACCCAGTCCAATGAACCACAAGTAAAACATTAAGATTCACATCACTATTACTCTTTCGGTAGTTAACATAAAGTAAATACAGTACCTTAGCAAATATAGAATTCAAAGAAATTGTCTTTTACAGGAAAATACAAATTAACTGAACACAAAATTATTAATCAGAAAACATCAGGTCACCTTAGAGATGAGCTTAGAAATAACATTTGAAATACCAGTTTAGTTAAACTTCATTATACCCATCCAACCCACAATGACACAGTGCCTCCGATTCTTTAGTCTGGCCACCTGCATTGCTGAGATAACCATTTTAACCTTTTACCAAATTTGACTTACATGACAAAATTACATCATCATTTATCATTACCCACATACTCATTCCTTCATATGATATACTAGTATATTATTCCAGCATACAACACAGCCACCGTTCAGCAGACAGCAAAAAGGAGCCAATAATGTTCGATTTGGTAACATACAGTACTTTCATTCAGAGATATGCTGCTTCAGCCCATTCAGCTAGTTTTACTATGGTGTAAACAAACACAGAGGTGCCACATCTCACAAAATGAGTCAGCTATTGTATGAGGTAGAACTGTGCCAGCTATTGTATGAGGTAGAACTGTGCCAGCTATTGTATGAGGTAGAACTGTGCCAGCTATTGTATGAGGTAGAACTGTGCCAGCTATTGTATGAGGTAGAACTGTGCCAGCTATTGTATGAGGTAGAACTGTGCCAGCTGTACACGGGAGCTGACACAAGTGACACTAGTTCTTACTTCCTGAGAATAAATTGAATAGGTACTGGTTGTGAAAACTTTGGTTTTAGCAAAGTGTTCCATTCCTGTTGAGGTGGTGATTTGTCTGTTGCCACAAGCTGAAATTTCAGCAACAATCGACACAGGCCACAATATAAATCCTGTATTGCAAATCTCCGACCTGTAGGGTGATAAACAAGACAAAGATATTCATAAATCATGAATGACAAATGTAGACATTTAATAAACACACACACACACACACGCATATATATATATATATATATATATATATATATATATATATATATATATATATATATATATATATATATATATATATATATATATATATAGATAGTAGATGATTGGTGTTATATGTAGTGATGATGGATGGTATTATATGTAGTGATGATGGATGGTGTTATATGTAGTGATGATGGATGGTATTATATGTAGTGATGATGGATGGTGTTATATGTAGTGATGATGGATGGTATTATATGTAGTGGTGATGGGTGGTGTTATATGTAGTGATGATGGATGGTATTATATGTAGTGATGATGGGTGGTATTATATGTAGTGATGATGTGTGTTATATGTAGTGATGATGGATGGTGTTATATGTAGTGATGATGGATGGTATTATATGTAGTGATGATGGATGGTTATATGTAGTGATGATGGATGGTATTATATGTAGTGGTGATGATATGGTGATGATGGATGTATTATATGTAGTGATGATGGTGGTTATATGTAGTGATGATGGATGGTGATTATATATGTAGTGATGATGGATGGTATTATATGGTGATGATATATATGTAGTGATGATGGATGGTGTTATATGTAGTGATGATGGGTGGTGTTATATGTAGTGATGATGGATGTTATATGTAGTGATGATGGATGATATGGATGGTGTTATATGTAGTGATGATGGATGGTGTAATATGTATGATGATGGATGGCATTATATGTAGTGATGATGGATGGTGTTATATGTAGTGATGATGGATGGTGTTATATGTAGTGATGATGGATGGTGTTATATGTAGTGATGATGGATGATTTTATATGTAGTGATGATGGGTGGTGTTATATGTTGTGATGATGGATGGTGTTATATGTAGTGATGATGGATGGTGTTATTTGTAGTGATGATGGATATTGTTGTATGTAGTGATGATGGGTGGTGTTATATGTAGTGATGATGGATGGTGTTATATGTAGCGATGATGGATGGTGTTATATGTAGTGATGATGGATGATTTTATATGTAGTGATGATGGGTGGTGTTATATGTAGTGATGATTAGATAATAAAATAATAAGTTTAATGCTAAAAAAATATAATTTGCTGTACCGTTGTAGTGAAAAACATGGTGGAACTTATATACACCGTTAATGAACTATTGAAGGAAGAAGAAGTTTTGGGGACTGAACAGTGAGACAATGTGGAGCCTCCCGGAGGGTGGCGTCCTACCGTTGCCCAGTGGATGAGCCGCCCGGAGGGCGGCGATTCTGCTAATATATATATATATATATATATATATATATATATATATATATATATATATATATATATATATATATATATATATATATATATATATATATATATATATATATATATATATATATATATATATATAGTATATATATATACTGTATATATATATTCCTTCAATTTTTTACTAAATCATTAATTCATTAACCTTAAATATGTACAAACCTACACACATCCGGGTACCAATACTGAAGGGAATATGGAGGTAGGGGTCAACACTGGCATGTTTTGCCGAATCTCGCAGCCAACGTTCAGGAGACAGTGTGGTCGGGTCTTTAAAGTAGTCACTACTTTGTAGCCAGACATAGGAGCTCAACTCGACCCGAGTCTGAAATATTAATACACAGCACTAAAATGGTCAGTGTTGTTTTACATATTAGCTATACTCTACCGTACTAACTTTATTTCGTATAGGTTGTTCCAAAACATGATAAGAATTAAAATAAAATTAATTACAGCATACTATTGGGAGCCAGATAATATTTTTGTTAACGTTCAGCAGTTTGTAATTTATATTCCATTCAGGCAATGGTATAGCTATACATTTATTTCTTGTTATTCGCAAATTTAGTATTCGCAGTTCTGCCTGTGCAAGAGTGGCCTCTGGAACTGTATAAATACGTAGTTTACAGTAAAACTTCACAAGGTCCCATCTCAAAACTTGTCAAAGTTTCTCGAAGTAACTCACACACCTTGCACATACGATGCCCATGCCATGCTCAGTCTTTGTTGTGTACTCGTGATCACAACACTCATGGTCCACTTTCCTAAATACGTTTTATTTGTTTATCTACTTTTTGTGTTATTGCGATGATTATCAAATAGAAAGTAGTAAAAGTAAGCGCACCAATACAGAACCAGAGGAGTGGAGAAAGGAAAACAGTCATGTTGTCTCAGTGTGGTTGTCAAAATCTTTCATCTGTGTTGTTATATTGTTTCACAGAGTGTGGATAGATTCTTTTTTTTTACAGTGTGTACACAAACACTGACACTTTCCTCGACAAGAGAGTGGAGTTTGAAACTACTCATGACCCATCAACCTGATATACGATAGTAAGTGTTGTGGAAATATTGTTTCTGTATAATATAAGGAGGATAGACTTAGAGGATTGCGAGTTTAACATAGGTGGATATGACTCATTTACGAACCTCTCTCAGGCAACCTATAAGAAAGGTGAGGTTACTTATGGTACAGTATGAAGGACCTTAGACCCAGTGAGGTAAGGGTGTAGGGGGGGATGTTTTTAAAGAATCAAAATGGCATTAAAATTAAACTGAAAAAAAGAGACCTACAGTACTTAAGAGCCTTAATAGACAATGCAGTGGCACTCAACTCTAGCCACTTCCTCGTCAGGGGGGACTTCAACTATAGTGTCATCTACTGGAGGAATGAAATTACACCACATAACAGAAATAATCCTGCATTTATTTATAGAAACTCTGAGAGACAATTTTCTACCAACATTTTAAGGATCTGACTCACTATGGAGGGGAAAAATACCCAAACTGCTGGACATCGTCAAAACTAACGAAGAGGGTATGGTGGCCACAGTGAAACATTTAACCCCCATCGGCATTAGCCATTACGTGATGTTGTCCTTCATATTTAACAGCTATTGGTTAAATGATGAGAACAGGCCAAGGCTCAAACACACCCGTATTACACTAGTGATTACTACAGTGTGGGGGAGGAAATAAGGAGTATTCGCTGGCCTGACTCACTGAGAAATAAGAACGCAGATACTACCCTGAATAGCATATAGACTTTACCAAGGCTTTCGACAGCATACCTCATGGAAGGCTGAAAATTAAACTGTAAGGGTATGGAATTTAGAGGAGTGTCCTAGCAAGGATGACCTACCATGACCGCAAGCAGTGTGTTCGGTGATTATTAGCACGAAATTGCCATGTATAGCCGTGACAAGCGGGCAACCACCGAGCAGTGACCCTTGTTGTTAACGTGTTTGTTTGTTTCATAAATGATAAACCGGATGTTATTCACTCCCCCATACAAATGTCTGCAGACGATGCTAAGTTATTCACGGAAGCTAAGAACAAAACAGAATGTGAAGTACTACAGCAAGATCTCTCTCTCCTTGAGGAGTGTTCAATGGGATGGTTTAACCAATAGTTAAGAGGCATGTGAACAATAACTTACACCTACAGGAACATGATAGCCACTAACTTAAACCTACAGGAACATGATAGCCACTAAAACACGAGGAATATGATAGCCACTAATTTACACCTACAGGAATATGATAGCCACTAATTTACACCTACAGGAACATGATAATCACTAACTTACACCAGCAGGAACATGATAGCCACTTAGAACCAAGTCCTTCTGAAGAAAACGCTGTACAGCTTCACCAATAGGATAAAATCTGCAAAGGTAACTAATTTGTAGATAAAGAGAAGATACAACAAACAAAGATAAAAAAAATTAATATATATATATATATATATATATATATATATATATATATATATATCAACATTTCAAACTATTTAAAAAATATCACGGAGGAAAATATTGAGTAAATCTGTTAGACATCTGATATGTTAATGACTTGACACAGCTCTGGTGTTTGACTTAGAAAATAGTTGAATATGACAGATAATGAAATCATGAGAAGGGGATAAAACATTAATTGTGTGGAAAAATTTCATAAAACATATTTTGAGGTCAGGACTTAAATAACAATGGAGGTCAGTCAACACATTGCTGCTTATTCTTAAAAAAAAAAATAATGATTCTGATGATTTACATGTTAAGAATAGGATACTAATTTGTGAGGGAAAGGAAGCAAGAACTATGACAAGAGATGAGAAAAAAAACTATTGAGAAGAAAACGTATGAAAAATGTACTGTACAGTCACTCAAAAAACTGTCTCTACAAAATTGTGTTGAAACAATATGACACAATGGAAAAAATATTCATTCATTTTGTAATTCACCGATCCCTCAAGTGTAGATTTTTTTTTTGAGTAACAACATAAAAATCCCTATTAAAAATTAAATCCATCCTTATTAAAAGTGAAGTGTTTTTTTTTATCTTACCTGAATACTTCTTTAACGAATGCCCGAAGGTAATGCAATTTATTGATGGTCTGTGGTGTTATTGGAGCATCTGGCTTAACGTGTGCTTTAATTTCTTGATAAAGTCGTTCTTGGATGCTTGGGTTCAATGCTAAACAGTGAAGATTGCCAAGAAGTGTTGGAGCAGTCTGAGGATAAGCAACAAAATCACCGAATCATCTACACAGTGAACTCAAAAGTGACGACAACGTTAAGTCTCATTCTTTGTTGACATTTACACACTTTGGTAAACAAGGAAATCTAGTTGCCTTCATTTGTTTGAGTTGCCTATAGCTGTAGAGTGTCAGTTGCTTGAGTTACCTATAGCTGTAGAGTGTCAGTTGCTTGAGTTACCTATAGCTGTAGAGTGTCAGTTGCTTGAGTTACCTATAGCTGTAGAGTGTCAGTTGCTTGAGTTACCTATAGCTGTAGAGTGTCAGTGCTTGAGTTACCTATAGCTGTAGAGTGTCAGTCCTATAGCTGTAGAGTGTCAGTTGCTTGAGTTACCTATAGCTGTAGAGTGTCAGTTGCTTGAGTTACCTATAGCTGTAGAGTGTCAGTTGCTTGAGTTACCTATAGCTGTAGAGTGTCAGTTGCTTGAGTTACCTATAGCTGTAGAGTGTCAGCTGCTTGAGTTACCTATAGCTGTAGAGTGTCAGTTGCTTGAGTTACCTATAGCTGTAGAGTGTCAGTTGCTGAGTTACCTGTAGCTGTAGAGTGTCAGTTGTAAATGGATGATTAATACTGAAACCACAGTTTATAGTAATGAACCTACAGGTAAGCCACTTGAATACACTCATTCCTCCCATGGGTAACAAGGTCAAGGAGGAAGCGGGGATGTAAGGAATAAGCCTGAATCAAAGATGGCTAATAACTGAGACAGGTGTGTGTGTGTGTGTGTGTGTGTGTGTGTGTGTGTGTGTGTGTGTGTGTGTGTGTGTGTACAGGTGTAACATCATGAGTGTAGCCTGTGATGGTGACTTATGCTTTCAGACATCTCCTCTTTATGGAAACTTGGTTGTCATGGGAAGGCGAATTGATCATTAGATAGTTCCAAAGGTAGATCTAGTGAGAGGTTGCTACTTGGCCACTAATATTTAAGGTCTTCCTGGGCCTCCAACCTGCAAGGCTTATGTTGAGCATTATTGGTCAACCAGCTGTGGGTTCTGCTATAACCCAGGGTTTTAGGATCAATTTTCCATGTAATTAATTTCCATTTTCTGTGTCCTTTATTTCCTGCACTTGGACGCCCCAAATCCTCAAAAGGGTGGAAAATATGAACCTGAGCCACTTCTATGTTATGTCACGCACCACCAACACGAGAGAAAGTATTTCAAGCTCACCAAACTATCATGCATAATGAACATAAAGTAATGCTTCTTCACACCTATGGAACGGTCTCCCAGACCAAGCTGCGAAATCATGAACAATACTGGGCTTCAAAATAGCTCTTGACATGACAAAATTATCAAGAAAAATGGATGGATCCTTATCATCCTACAATCCTGCACAAGTCACTGGCTTCCTTCCTTCGGGGTGGTCACATCTAGTGGGTTGCCTTTAGGTAAATAAGGTAAAATATAATGCCCAGTTCACACTCTGTAAAGGTGTGTTGGTGATAGGAAGGGACACCGTGCCATAAAAATTGCTTCAAATTTGCCTGATGCTACTCGGCCACTACGTCATCAGATAATCACAGCTAACCACCGAAAACTTGAAAAAATATTTGTAAAGCGGTGATGTTGTTAAATTCCTAAATTTACCAAGACAAGAACAACTTACTGTGGAGAGACCATCTGTGAAGAGAGACAAGGTGATGGCATCAATATCATCCTCTGACAACTCCTTGCGGGACATAAGGTAAGTCAGGAAGTTGAATTGTCCAGCTTTGAGTTTTTTCTCAGCCACGAGTGCCTTGATCTCATCCACGGTATCACTGATGAACTTCAATGTCACTCTAACACAGAAAAATCAATAAAGTACACTTAAGACTATGGGTTGGAGTTCAGATTTACATATACTGTACTGTATGGGATCATTATATGCACAAGAAGGAATACTGTATACTGTATTGCTACTGTATATTCTCTGCTCAATATAGTACAGGTACACTCTCACAAAAAAGTATTGACCCCTTTTCTCATCGATACAATATGTCACAATGGACGAATATTTCCGATCACTAATTGTAATTTCTACATTATGTTGGTAGGCCAGCCTTCCTAATATCTGTGAGGTTGCTAGTTATTATTTATTGTATTTGCTGTAATTATGGTAAATCACTGTGCCCCATCTTTAGTAGAATAATATAATGATATTAATGTAACGAAAATATATCAACAGCTTGTACCGACAGACATGGAGAGATGTCACTTTCCGAATAACAGTATAACTATAAATCAATGTTTGTTAGCTGTCTCCTTGTTGCTGAGGCCTATGTCGTGAAGGACGATGATACTGCCTCGTGTTATCTGTAATGTCTCCATAGTGATTGTCAATCCCATGGGAAGACTTGACGACATCGCCTCGTAGTGTGTATTAGAAAACGTTCCGTTGTCAGCACGAGTCATGGGATGATACGTTATATACATAATAATCATCTCATCAATTGAGGCAAAAAGAATATCGAAAAGCAGTAAATCATAAAGGCATTGTAACTGGATATGGCATCATTATACACCTGTAATTACTATATTTGCAAAATTAATCTAATATCGGATCATAGTGTTTTATATTTCGTTCGAAGCGATTCCATTGTAACCTCTGTTCATGAAAACACAGTAACGTTATATTCCTATTTGGCAACTCATCCTCTGGGGCTGAAATAATATCTAAGGTGCATAAATTAGCGGGGTTACTCATGACGTTATTGGTTTTGCATATGACATCACACTTCATCCTATTTCATTACATTACGTAGAAAATAGTTGGTATACTGCAGATATCATGGTGATTATCAGGTGCAAGAAGAAAGAACGAAAAGTACATCTCACAATCAGAAATACCAACCGAACCTGGACTATTGTGCACGTGTTATTGTGTTCATTTCCAAGTACATCAGTCTCGAGGGACTCGATACTTTTTGGGGAGAATGTACCTTGATTACTTATACACTTACAAATTACACCATAAATTATGACAATGAAAATAAAAATATAAAGCTCTTGTGCATTATGCAGAAGACCCGACAGCCGCACCCTTATCCACTACCTCCTAAGATGTCCCCACACACAACGCTTCCGTGACGCCTGCTGGACCACCACTCCACGACCCCCTGACGGAGACACGATGATCCTCCCCATACTGGCCAGATATTATGTAAATAATATTGATTTTGTGTTAAAGGAATATCCTTCCTTCCTTAGGCTTCAGTAAGCCCCTTTATAATATTTATACTGTATATACTTGTCACACTTGCCAGATGCTTCTGGTGTCATTGTACAGGGGTACCTAGTGACAGCACTAGGATCCCGCTTCCTCTATCAAGGAATAAACAATTGAAATTGAAATTGAATTAGCAGATCACAGGAGCAATTGGTTATTTTTTGTTAAATATGAGGAAACCATGACTGACTACAGGTATGTTGCTACACCGTACTAAAAAATTCACAAATAACTCGGAAATGTAGGGGGGGGGGGTGAGCCAATGGTTTAATCAACTCACTATTAAGGATGATATCTATTTTTGGAAAGGATATGTTCCTAAATGAAGAAACAAAATGTAAATCCCAAAAGTATGTGTTGCTTTTTCTGTGATCAATCACGGGCACATTCTACAACTCTATAATTATTGTCGTTCAAGTACTGATAGTTTCTCTTTGCATCTACCGTACCCTCCAAAAGGAAATAAATGCAAGGCAACATCAGTAATCCTACACCCTTGGGGTCGAGCAGTTTTTAGATTGCAGAATTTGCCAGATTACGGAAAATAGACATTCCCAGGAGAGCTGAACTTTAGACCAATCCACAATATAGTATAACTGAAGGAGTTTTATATATCAGATATCATTTTCATATGTAATTTATGTCACATATAATAATCTCTGGTTACAGAGATTTTTTAAAGCAAATTAAAACAACATAACAAAATTGTGAATTACAGTGTCTATCTACAGTAGATAACTTCTATCTTACCCATAAAAGAAATCGCTATAGTCAAGTAGTCTGCTGTACTTTGGAGTTTTGTAGTAGCGATACAGCTGCAGCGAAAACCTAAGCTCTGCTGAAAGCTGAAATGTATATAGTTCATTTTAGTAGTCATACAATAAAGTTAATTTAAAAAAATAGGACAAAACTGCAGCACGACCACCCTGCAAAATATACATACCTATAAAAAAAAGGACTTATCCTGCAATCCCATCACAGCTTATGTACAGTTGCCTGCGTTTACACCGGGTACAGAGGCTGGGGCATTTTGTGAGATATGACAACTCCGTGGAATGCTTATCTCATCTGGCTACTATTGTGAGGTATACCTTAAGGCCATTCCGGGAGTTTTACTATGATATAAACAAACACAGAGTTGCCACTTTTCACAAAACGCACTAGCTACTGTTCCAGGTGTAAGTGGAGGTGACTGTACACACACCAACAAGAGTCCTGTCACTTCACTTGCCTCTTCATGAACCCAGAGATTCAGAGACCTTTGAGGTCTCTTAATCTCTGGGTTCATGAAGAGGCAAGTGAAGTGACAGGACTCTTGTTGGTGTGTGTACAGTACATGAATGTCTGGGACTGAATCCAGAAATGGATGAGTGGTCATAAAATTGTTTTTAACTTTGTTAGAACTGAGAAACTCCTTATAGCCAACATGTAAACAGTGGAATTTCCTGGGCCCTAAAAAGTGTAACCGAGATCTAAAAATAAAAATATTGAATAATTACAGGAGATGAGTGGGAGGAGATTATGTGCTGGTCTTAATTTTAGTCACGATGTACCGAAGTGGGGAAGCGTGGGGGTGGAATGTGGTAGAGTGCAGTACCACAGCCATGCTCCATCCTTGTGTACTGAAGGCTTGGTATACAGTGTGCTGTTGCAGTAAGGAGGCATACCGCATGTCCCAACAAGATGAAGAAACAGCTTTAAGAGACCAAATGTGGAAAAGACCTGGGTGTGTATGTTGTCAATGAGCTGAATTTCTCGGACCATTGTGAAAAGAAGGTAAATCAAGCAATTAAGCTAGTAGGCCTTATAAGGGTGTTCACATACCTAGATGGTCCATCCCTCATAACGTTCACCAAGCGTAAGGTGCTTTCCCTTTTGGAATACTGTCAGACTGCCCAGTCTTCGATATATGCCATACACTGTCAGCTGATTAAAAATGTCCAAGAGAGGGCTACCAGACTGGTGACTGCACTAAAGCACCTCAGTTACCAAAAGAGATTAAAATGCTTGCAGTTGCCTAGCTTATATTATAGGCAGGCAAGGGGTGACTTAATAAAAATCTCTAAACATCTCAGAGGCCATTATGCAGTCGAGTGTTAATATCTGAAATTGGCAGATGCCCGCCCCCCCTAGAGCTAATGGTTGGAGAAGTCACAAGTTCAGAAAATTGTCAGGGCAAACTTTTTTGGAGTGAGAGTTGTGAACTCTTCGAACAATCCGCCGGAGAGTGAGCTGTTTCAAGATCAGACTTGACCAGCACTGGCACAGGTACAGAGACATTTTGAAGGTAGTAAAATGACCAGTACTTGTCAACAGTGCGTAACAAAGATGTGGCCGCCTGTCATGTGGCAAGCAGACTGATCAATGGCGAAGAAGATAAAGTAAAAGTAAACATTAAGAAACTGCCATGTATCACATTGTGGAGGAGATGAAGGTTATAAGGATAAATATATAAGTAGAAAACTAAGTTTTCTCTATAACACCGAAAAAAGAGAATCACAATGAGAAATAAAAAATATTAAATGCTATACCTTAAATATTTCAATGTCTGCTTCCACCATTTTTTGTGCAAGGTCTTCTTTAGCACCTCCACTTAAGCACCCAAGCGATTTTTCAAAGCAGCACATCCCTGCAGCTGGTTTACAGGAAAAGACAGTGGATAAACATTCACGAGATAACAGATTCAATTTTAATTAAAGACATACAAAATATAAGGAATAATGATATGAAGAAACCTATCTTATCATGAACACACACACTCCAAAAACCACTGACCGTAGATAATAATATTGATACGAAAGTTAACTGACCGATTTCTTAAAAAATTTCATGTTACTTGCATGAACTGATCGAAATTGTATGTATATTTTTTTCTATTAGAGCAGCCTGTATAAAAGCTAATTAAACATTTATAAACATCAAAATAATCATCTACCCAAACAATCAAACTACTTACATTCCATGATCCACTTGGTAATAAAGAAGTGTAGCTGTGGAATGAACCCTTGATCGTCTGCCTCGAGTGCCAGTCTTTCTACAGCTTTTTTGGCCACATCATCCTGAAGAGGGTAATAATGACTAACTTCTTGGGGACGGAGCATCATCTGTTGTACTGCGTTGCGCAATTTGTACCACTTTTCACCATTTCTATAAAGTACAAAATAGCAATTTAAATATTTATGATATAACTAAAGGATGGATATAATCTAATGCATAACTAAAGACTGTCCATATATCTATCCATTAATATACTGGTTCCTGACTATTGAATCTAGCACTTAATAAGGCTTCGTAGCACCTGGAGAGAAAGGGGGGTGCCACTTGGGTATAGAGATAAACAATATTAAAAATGGGGGAGATAAGAACCAGGGAGAGGTGGAGAGATTGTGAGACATAACTCAGAGAAAAGAACATGAAATTTTATTGGATAAACAGGTTGGAGAAGCTATGCAAAACTAATCATGGATATCTCACAGCAGCGTGGAATGTTGCCGTCAAATGGTGGAGATAACGATAATATAACACACTGTATATAGCACATAATGTATTCTTTAAACTGCAAACTATATTTTTATTAAATCGATAAACAAGTTTGCTAGTTTGACTTTTTTTTATACACTAAACATATGCAAGTTTAACTGCTTCCATAATATTAAAAAAATAGGTCAAAGTGAACTATTTCTCTTAATTTATCTTGTTTATAAATCTATCATTTTTTTTTCTATAGTATTAACCTGTGTTGTCAGGACTATCACTCTTACATGTTTCCGAGTCCAGGAGAAAGGTGTTTCAGCTCACGATACGCCTTCGTTGTTTCCTGTAGTGGTGGTACATGAGGAGTTCTTCCATCACTCTCATAAACAGCGCGGATGTCAGCCAGATCAAATACATGAATTACAGTTCCAGAGCTAAAAACTTCCCTCACAACTGGTCCATATTTGTGGTAAAGGGAACACACATCTTGATGATACGTCTGTACCCTCTTGGTGCCTATAACATTACCAAGATTGAGATAAGCACAAGTGAAATTGGCCTCCAGACCTGCTGCCTCTGGCCAACTAACTGGTTAAAGACCTAATAAATCTGGGATTTACCAACACAAATGAAGCAAACACCATTATTTTAATAATTATATGTTTTACCCAGCTTAAAAAGCCTCATGTTAAAACAAAAAGATAAGCACAACACTTACCTATTTTATATGGTAACAATGTTCCCAAGACTGGGAGGCTGATAGGACCAGGAATTGCTGAGAATGGTTTGGTTGTCTCAAAGGATTGTGCAGATATGTGAGATTTCACAGTGTTTATGGACCTCACATTGTGGTGCTGCCGAAATACAAATGTGAACTGGTTTACAGTCACTTTACTATTACTGCATTGAACTTATCATTAATCAATTAGGTTGCGCTTCAGCAAGGTCCCAAGCTTTGACCCTGACCTTTGCACTTTGGACCCTCAGAGTACAAAACCTATTGCTGTTGTCATGATGAATAACTGTACTTTATATATTATGTACTGACATCCTGTAACATAATGAGAAATGAGGGAATGATTCTGAAATGTCTATTTTCCAGTTCATCCCATTGCCAGATGGCTCTGGGACAGTAGACTCCGTCCTAACTGACAGCAGGTGAGAGAACTGTACAAAACTCTCCGTCGTTCTTATTAGATACATCACTAAAAAGATAGACTGGCTGCTGAGTTTGCTTTTTTAGAGGCTAGAGTTCAGTCTCTCTAGTCAGATGCTTATCCCTGAGAACATTCTTGGCCTACCCTCAACTTTCCTCCCTTCCACTTTCAAATTAAATGCATCTCGACCTAACTGTCCGCCATTCTTTCCACACGCCTGAACCATCTCCGCCGACCTTTACACAAAACCTCACCCCAATATTGTCAATACCCAACTACCTTCTTAACTCTGTACCTATTTCTTAGTGTCATATTACACTTCCATCTCACCTTTCTCACTTCCTTTCGACCCAAGTACCTGTAGGATAATATGTCTTATTAAGGTGTCTACTCAGAACAGGTAGACTATTTTACAGGCTAAACAAACTGTAGCTGCCTCTTTCATTTCCCCCTGGTCACCTTCCTTGTGGCTTCCAATTTGATAAAAAAAAAATTTGGGTACTGGGCATTTTCCATTGTTTAGTTGTGCCGTTACCATCTCAAGTTAATCTTCTAAAATATAATCTAATCTCAATATGCCATCCAAATCTTCAGTAATTAATTTATTTCACAACCAAAATAGTAACGTGTCTCCATTAATAATTATTAACATTCTCATTTCTCCAGCTTGCATGTTGTGATTTCGCTTTGTTAATTGATCTTATGTTTCTGGCACTGTCCTCAAAATAGATATCATCATCATCATCATCATCATCGTCATCATCATCATCATCATCATCGTCATCATCATCATCATCATCATCATCATCATCATCATCATAGCCATTCTCTCTCCCCATGGCTCCTCCCCACACTTTAAAATACACGTGTTTATTATCACCTACTGTATTTGGTATTTTCTTGGTGTTATTTTACCTTTCAGAAGAGGATAAGATATATTTATTTACTCTCTTATTCACCTCAGTTTGTTGATGAATTTTTATCATTAAAATTTACTCTCGGATTCTTGAAGTTATTGGATTGGTTGATTGTTTACCTTTCTAGTCGCCATTAAATATATCACCTACTTCACATTGTTAGTTAGAATAATTAAAAACTAATATGATCATAAAAAATAAACTTACATACCTTACCAACACAAAAATTGGCTTTATACACAGAAAGATTCTCCCAGGCAACCAGTCTTCTTTGACCCAATGCATAACATCGTGTCAGACTCATTATTCAGCAAATTATTATTTCTGGAAGATAAAAAGTATAAGTTAAAAGTCGATTATACATTATACAGTATCATCTCTGTTTAAATTTGCGCGTTTGTATAGATGTTATATGAACTTGTAAATAACACATCTGGTAAATAAATGAAGGACGGATATCTCCACAAACTGTACAGGGGCCTGTGTGCATTTTTGGGGGGAGGGAACCTCTTTTTATGTTTGGAATAAATTATTGACACATTTTTGTGAGTGTTAGCTCGGGAGTCTCTTTTCTAATCCCGTCGTTTGGCCGCTATCTTGGAAAATGGCGGTCAAAACGACACAAAATAAAGCAAATCGTTTTTTCCTCAATAATTGTTCTCAACTTATAGCCAGTTTGTAACCTTGCAAAACAAACACATCTTCTTCTATGGTTGTTTTTTTTGTCAGACTAATATTATTGGGTCAATTTTAATTTCTAATACAGTACATACAGTAAGGTATTTTTTTTTTTATGGTAAACAGGTATCAAGTTTTAGTTGAAGTATAAATATCTTTCAAACTATTATTTTATTTAAAAGGTCAATTCTCTTGTTTAGCGAATGCCTTATGACAATATGCATGATTATTACCGTGAAATACATTATCATATAACTGAAAAAAATTAGATGTCATTCCTTTTCACTATCTCTCTCACTGCTGCAAACGTCTTCCCTCGTATCATGTTAATTGGACTTTATACTGATTGGTCTCCTGTTGATAACCAAGCCAGAACAGTTTTAGCCAAGAGTTCCTCGTCATCGTGAGCTGAAAGAAAACTTTTCCTTACTTCATCTGATGAGGTCCCTTTAAAAGCCTCGTTCCACTGCCTGGGTAAAGCACAATTTATTTCATCTGATCAAGAGATACACTACACCTCTCAGTGAGATGACTTCCTTAATAATTACATCTACTAAATGAAGTCTAAGTAAGGTGAGATATGGAGGTGATTGTGCCCTTATGGCAATTGAATGTTATTTAAAAAAGGAAGAAGAGAAAAAGCAAAACAAAAACCAACTTGCCTCCTGTTGGTGTTCCTCGGTACTGTGTTGTCAAGAGAGTTGGCTTCTGTTTTTCTTCTCTTTTTTTTCAGTTCATTTCGGCGATTTGTCGGGATCAAAGTGCTATCTCTATGTACACTGCATTTTGCTATGAATAACGGATAATATACGCCCACTCAGTCCTTTAGATATACAGAAAAAAATAAAACTTTCTTTGGGGCAGTAATAGAATGCCTTTAAGAATAGCCAAGCTTGTTGATTTATTTTTTTATTTATTTTATTTCAACTATTATTTCCTTATACTTTCCTTTCCAGTTCTTATCAACTCAACAGCCTTGGAAGACTTACCCACGCAGAGGCAGCTCTCATCGGCTCTACAGCTAGTGTCTCTACACCGCAGGTTAAGCACCCTACAGCAGCTCTGCTACTCTAAGCAGACAACCGTTCCTCTTCCTGCCCCAAGCACCACGTCCAACCGACCCCAACACACCCGTCCTGCCTCAGACGCCGCCCCCGGCCCAGCAGTACCCCCTGACGGAGCCCCTGCTCCTGACGCGGACCCACACACCCCTTTTTTCTCCCTCACGTACCCCCTGCTACTGTCCTGCACCCTGCTGCTGTCGTTGACCCTGCTGCTGTCATGCACCCTGCTGCTGTCATGGACACTCTTCCTGCTGACGCAGCCCCTGCTCCTGACCCAGGCCCACACACCCCAGCAGGCGCATCTGAGGACTCTGTACCCGTCGCGAGTGAAGCACAACATTCATCGCCTCTACAACCCTCCTTCTCCCTCTTTTCTCCCACAGATCTCGTGTATCTAGACAGAGTTGCCCCCCCCCCCTAGCGGCCGGCTCATCCACGCCCTCGCCGTTATGTCCCACATGTGGCATGCACCGCCCGTTCTGTCTCACATGTGGCACGCAACTCTGCCAACCTCCAGCCTCCCGCCGCGCCTGGGGGGGAAGGGGAGTATTGTAGTGATTCCTCCCCTACAAGCACCAAACCTTCTCGAATTCCCCAGCCTACGCCTCCAGCGCCGCCCACGGAGCGGGGGTCAACTATCTACCCACGCCTACCCCTGCCTTATAAGGCCTGACACTGCTGTGACCAGCCTCTTTTCTACCCAGTGCCACCAGCAAGCAACCGATAGGCAGACCAGGAAAGGAGGCGGAGTAGCAATCTATGTTAGGGATAATCTGAAGTGTGAAATAAATAAGGAAATAAAAACTGAGCGGAATACAGAAACAATTTGGATAGAAGTAATCGACGGTAGGGAAAAATTAATCACACTAGTAATATATAGACCTCCCAATCTTATCTGGGATGAAATGTGCAGGGCTTCCATACACAACAAAGTCTGTATAGTAGGTGACTTTAACCTTGGCCAACCTTACAGGTAACTCAGAATCAGAGGATTTTCTCGATACGATCCAGGACTGTTTCCTAAGTCAACATATAACCGAACCCACCCGGGGTAATAATATACTCGATTTAGTTCTGTCGAACAGAGAAAACCTCATTAGCAATGTCGAGGTAGGGAACGAACTTGCAAACAGCGATCACAAAGAAATTAGATTCCAGTTAGATTTTCAGGGCAGACGTAAGGAAAATTCCACTAAAGTACCAGATTTCAGAAGGGCAAACTTTGACAGTTTAAAGAGGCAGCTGAGAGGGGGGGTGTCACGCTTGGCCGTGAACCTGACAGATGACACCGACCTGACAACGAGATCTGAGATTGCTGAGTTCCACGACAATTTAAATAATGAGTTACTTAATGCACAAAGGCAGAATATACCATACAAAAACCTTAGATCAGACAACAATGATCCTAAATGGATAAATAATTATTTAAAGAACATCATTGGCCAAAGGAAGGCTATAGGTAGATGTATAAAGCGTGGCAAAATTTACCTCCGGGATTATTATAAGGTATTGGCGAGTAAGGTTAAAACCGAGATAAGGAAAGCCAAGAGGAATAATGAGGTAAGGATAGCAAGGGAGGCGAAGACAAACCCCAAAGGATTCTACCAAATGTATCAAACTAAAACAGGATGAAAGATTGGACCAATACGGTCAGATACCGGCGAGCTCACTGATAACGACGGAGAAATGAGCAATAATTTGAATGAATATTTTTCAACAGTTTTCACCACCGAAAATTTAAACATGATACCCGAGGCACCGAATCTATTCAGAGATAGTCAGTAAGCAAATAGACAAACTAAAGCCTAATAGGTCACCTGGTCCCGATGAGATATTTGCCAGAGTATTAAAGGAATGTAAGGAAGAGCTTAGTATGCCCTTAGCAAAGTTGTTTAACATGTCCTCAAAAACAGGTGTAGTACCTGAATCCTGGAGGATAGAGAATGTAATACCGATTTTCAAGAAGGGGGATAGATCACTATCCACTAACTATCGCCCAATCAGTCTAACATCAATAGTAGGCAAATTACTGGAAGCAATCATTTCAAACTCTATTCGAAATCACCTGGAGAAGCACAGATTGATCAATGATTCCCAGCATGGCTTCGCAAGCAGACATTCTTGTCTAATTAATCTATTAACATTATTTTCATCAGTTTTCGAATAGGTGGACGAGGGGCACAATTATGATGTGGTATACCTCGACTTTAGAAAAGCCTTCTGTAGATATATGAGACGAGTAAGGACCACCTGAGTCTCCCACACCTTCGACAGGGTCCCCCACGAAAGACTAATTAGAAAGGTAGAAGCACATGGCATCAAAGGTAATATCCTTAAATGGTTTAGGGCTTGGTTACAGGACAGGAAACAGCGAGTGAGCATTAACGGCACTAAGTCCCATTGGAGCAACGTCACAAGTGGAGTTCCCCAAGGCTCAGTACTTCGACCATTATTATTTATTATATACATAAACGACATAGATATCGGCATAGACAGCAACATAAGTAAATTTGCTGATGACACTAAAATAGGACGTGTTATTAAATCTGACGAGGACTCTGCAAAACTACAGGAAGATCTAAACAAATTTTTCGAATGGTCTGAAAAATGGCAGATGAAATTCAACGTGGACAACTGTAAAGTGCTCAGTATATGAGATGTAAACAGGGAAACCAGTTACCAGATGAACAACGATGCCATTGTGGAACCCGACTGCGAGAGAGATTTAGGAGTAATGATAAGTAGGAATCTTAAGCCAAGTAAACAATGTGTTTTTGCTCGTAACAAAGCTAATAAAGTACTTGGGTTCATACAAAGGAGTGTTAGTTACAATGCTAGCGAGGTCATCTTAAAATTATATCTAGCGTTTGTGAGACCGCACCTGGATTACGCAGTTCAGTTCTGGTCACGGTATTACAAAATGGATATAGAATCCTTGGAAAGAATCCAGAGGAGAATGACAAGACTAATCCCGGGCATGAGGAACCTTGAATACAGAGACAGGTTAAAGCATCTTAATTTGCACTCCCTAGAGAGACGTAGAGTGAGGGGCGACATGATAGAGGTGTATAAATGGAAGTCAGGGTTAAACATAGGGGACATTACGAAGGTACTCAACCTATTCAACCAGGAGCGAACTCGTAACAATGGTTTTAAATTAGTCAAATTTAGATTTCGGCGTGAAATAGGTAAACACTGGTTTGGAAACAGAGTAGTGGATGAATGGAACAAGTTACCAAATATCATCATTAACTCGAATACGCTGGATAGCTTCAAACATAGGTTGGATGCTTATATGAGCAATAGGGGTTGGGTGTAAACGGGACTGCCCAGTATGGGCCAATAGGCCTGCTGCAGTTTCCTCCATTCTTATGTTCTTAAGTTTCCTTTCTCCATCCCATCAGTGGCGTAGCTAGCCTGGCGGCCCTTGAGTTCCGTGACCTACAAAAATACATATTGCACAGTGACTCACTCTTTTATATATATATATATATATATATATATATATATATATATATATATATATATATATATATATATATATATATATATATATATATATATATATATATATATATATATATATATATATATATATATATATATAGTTTGCCTTACTGTTGTCAGACAAAAGCCACCCCGATCAAAGTAGGGGGCTTTGTCTGGGTGGCTTGTCTGGGGGCTTTTGTCTGGGTGGCTTTTGTCGGGGGGGCTTTTGTCTGTACCCCAGAGAGGATAGTGTCTTAGTATAAAATCGCAATGCTGTGAAACAAAATCTTAATATTTAATCTCAGTACCGCAGCAAAGGTCACATCAATATTTTTTAACCAATACTTTAATATTTCTTACCTTATAGTATTATGTCATCCAACCAAGTAAATAACTGGATCGAAAACACAAGAGAACTTAAAGTAGTCTAGCCTTCCCTCGTCTTGTCACGATGGAGACTTGTGCAGAACTGAAGTGAATTGCTTGTAACTGGTGGATTGGTCGGCTGTACATGACCCGAGACTGCATGGTTTTGCAGCTACTGGAGACGTTAATTCATCCCTTTGTATCGGCGGCAAGTTAATCCTCGTCGTGTCTGACCTAACACCTGACCCACACCACATGAGCTCACTGGCGTACTTGTTTGAAGTTGTTTCCTTAATCCTCAACAGGTTACAGGTTGTGTGTGGGGCGGGGGGGCGCATAGCAAGGGGGTAGCTCATGACGTGGCCGTGATGATGTGGGTCAGGTGTTAGGTCAGACACGACAAGGATTAACTTGCCGCCGATACAAAGGGATGGATTAACGTCTCCAGTAGCTGCAGATATGGGTGATGAGCAGACCCAAAAGTGCCGCCCGGGGCGGACCGCCCCCCCAAAAGTGCCGCCCGGGCGGACCGCCCCCCCCCCTAGCTACGCTAGTGCCATCCCATCCTGAGTGTGAACCAATATCTCATAACCCCCCCCACACACTCATCATTCTGTCACATTATGTAGCTTGCTGACAAACCCTATGACCCTTCGGGCTTTTACGCCCTTAATGCATGAGTCATATTTTCTTATGTAAACGCTTTTGCTCTTCACCTTGCACAGGAGGACAAGGGGATGCCCAATAAATTAGCCCCCTCGGGGGCAAATATAAAAATATACACACTGTAGTCGCTCAGCCCCACCATGAATTTCCTAGCAATCATGTACTCAGAAAGGTCACAATTGCATGCGGCGTACTCAAATCCACAATCCATTGCCTGTTGTGAACACCTCTAGAAGAAATTACTCATTCTCTTACCTGGGTTCTGCACGTGCCTAAGAAACACTGAGCAGAACCTTACCTTGGCTCCAGCTGTGAGCGGTGATGCCTGACCCCGCCTTCCAAGATATCGTACAGCGGGACATCCTACGTTCACTTTTACCTTTATCCTCTTCCCCACTGATCGACATTTAGGAAGCAAACAAACAACAACGGGCCCAGTACACTGCCCTGTGGTACCTCGCTTGTCACGGGTACACATGACGATTTCGTACCACTAACCACCACAACCTGCTTGCGGTCCAACGATTTACATAAAGTACTTGTACCCAAATGTACCCAAAAGTATATTAAATCAGGGTAAAATCTTAACGAATATATGTTTTACATCAATAAAACCTGATTAATAATGTTTTCATTGAAATGTAGTCCAAATAATGAAATAATAAACAGCGATAAACGTTAAATTCCAAGGAGTCACCTATCCAAAATGGATATATAAATACCGATGTTCCTGTTACTTTGTTACTAAATCCCCTAGTTGGCAACATTTCCAACTCCAATATCAAGAATAATATGGATCTGGTTGATAAACTCAATAACTTACACATTAATCATGATTTTAAACTGGTCAGCTTTGATGTAACGTCACTCTTTACAAAGGTCCCAGTTGATGATTTACGAGAGTTCCTCATAGATTCCCTGGATAACATTTCACTGCCCGTCTCGAAAGACGACTTCACAGAACTCATCAAACTATGTATTAAGGATTGCAAATTCGAATTCAATGGGGAATATTATGCTCAAAAATTTGGTATGGCAATGGGTAATCCACTCTCACCTGTATTAAGCAACCTATATATGGAATTCTTTGAAAAGAAACTATTAAGTAATATTTTACCACCCTCAGCAGTCTGGTTTAGATATGTTGATGATGTATTATGTCTCTGGCCATGTAATGAGGACCTAAAAGCTTTCCTACCACAACTTAACAACTTAGCCCCCTCGATCAAATTCACTGTGGAATTAGAGCAAGACTGTAAATTGCCTTTCCTAGACTGTCTGATACACAGAATAGGTAACACTTTTAAGTTCAGTATTTATAGAAAACCTACTAATGTGTGTTCATACATTCATTATTATTCTGCCCACCATAATAAAGTCAAACAGTCAGTATTTTCAACAATGTTTTTACGTGCCTTGAGAATTTGCAGTCCGGAATTCATCGATGAGGAATACAAATATATATATAATATTGGCTCAAACCTTAAATACCCTAGATCTTTTATAGACAAATGCTTAAACATTACTAAGAAAACTTTTTATAGAACTGACCCCAAGCCCACCCATGACCATAAGAATATCTTAATATTACCATTTCACAAAAATTTCTCACACATTCCTGCACAGCTAAAAACCTGGAACGTCAATGTGGTATTTAAAAACTCATGCACTGTTAAACAAATGTTAATCAAGAACTCCCCCAACAACACAATTGGTTGCATTTATAAAGTTCCTTGCAAGGAATGTAATATGTTTTACTTAGGCCAGACAGGTAAAGATCTTGCAACTAGAATTAAACAACACAAATACAGTGTTAGGACAGGCCAAGAATCCAATGCTCTGTTTGTTCATTTGAGGGATAACAAGCATTGCATTGACTGGGATAATGCCTCCTCAATATTACCATGTAAGTCAATTGACAGTAGGAACATCATAGAATCTAGTCTTATTAAACATACCGAAGCATTCAACATGAATTTGAGTAACGGCATGTACAAGCTGGACAATTTTGTAATTAAGAAGATTTGTGATCAGGTGAGAAGGCCGGGTCACTTGACCATCTGACCTGACCACCAACCGTTGTGTGCTATTTAAAGATTAGTTGGGTCATTACCTAATACCTGACCATTGTGGACCTGGTCTCACCGTCCTCTGTATATATACACCTTGATTTGTATTACTCTCTCTAGTCTGTACTCACCCCTGAAGATGTGAATTACACGAAAGCGCTTGGGAACTTTGTGTTTTCTTCTTTCCTTGTGGTTATCAGCATATACCTAGATCACGCGCACCTACAGTGATTTACTTGCATATATATATATATATATATATATATATATATATATATATATATATATATATATATATATATATATATATATATATATATATATATATATATATACAAATAAATATATTACGTATCTTCAAAGTGTATGACATTCCTTATTAGAAATAGTGATTGGACTAAGATGTGAATTACACGAAAGCGCTTGGGAACTTCGTGTTTTCTTCTTTCCTTGTGGTTATCAGCATATATATATATATATATATTTATAGTACAATAGTAATTATTATTATATTTTCGCCCCCCAGGTCCTCATGTGGGTCAATAACCTGTGCCCGGGTGGGCTAATCCCCGTAAAAGAAAAAAAATCATAAAAAAATATGAGCATTACATACTTTAATTTAATCCCAATTAGTGAGTATCAAAGAAAATGCAATTTAAAAATGTAATTGAAATATATTTAAATTTAAGATGAAGCGTAATTGAATATACGAATATGAAAAAAACAAAAATGCTTTGGAAAAAAGTATATACAGCATATGAAACAGTATAATAATAATAATGGAAGCCCCTCGAAATCGAGTATGGTCGGCCCAAGGGCCTTGTGGGGTTCAAGATTGTTTGGTTCACACTCAGGATGGGTTGGAGAAAGGAAACTCACAATGTGCTCTCTATATACATGTTGTATTGGATGTACAATGCAGCTTGGTGCTGGGAAGGCAGCATGGTTACAAGCGTGATGTAGAGAGAGCTGGTTGGTGAGGACGCTCAGAGAAGGACAGCTTGTGGGTCGCCATGCTCGCCAGCGGGAGAGAGGGCCGCCAGGCAGGCGGAGGAGCGAGGGCCGCCAGGCAGCGGCAGAGGAGGAGGTGTTGCTGGCTGCGGCTGTAGGCAGAGAGAGAGGCAGATCACCACGAGGTCAGGTCTTAAATAGTGGGGGTAGGCGTGGCTTAGCAGTTGACCCCCGCTCCGTGGTGTATGGCAGCGCTGGTTGACCTAGACCACGAGGCATACACTGGGGAATTGGTGGGGTCGGCTAGGCAGCGACAAACAGCGTTTGTAGGGGAGAATTCCACTACAGCCTCCTAGACGTGAATTTGTTAAGGTGTAGAAGCTGTCCCCAACACAACAACAACCACACCCTGAGTCAACGAACTGCATGACACAGTGTCATGGAATAGTCCGAGAAGACTGGACAGCTCGCCAACTGCACTGGCTAACCATTACCCCGGAATATACGATCTGCAAATCCATTAACATCCAGGTTCCCAATTACTGCTGGGTAGACAGAGGTAAATGGCGTAAAGAAACTTGCCCATAGTTTCACCCTGCCCGAGGATCGAACTGTATGTACAATATGTTTTTGTTGTTCATTGTTTTCTTTGGTACCGTACGATCAAAGCACAACTATAAACAATAAAATAAAATCGTCATTCATCGTTGAGCACCATTTTCTATGATGTCGCAGGTTATGTACACTTTTTAAGAGTTACCCTTATATTACTAAAACGTCTTTATGGTGTCACGCTCTTCATAGGTAGCGCGTCAATCTGAGACCACGCAGAAAATAATAGGTTTTCAAGGAAAGTTGTATATCTTCCTCTATAACCCATGGCTGAAATCAAGGAATATACATACAGTATATCTTCCTCTATAACCCATGGCTGAAATCAAGGAATATACATACAGTATATCTTCCTCTATAACCCATGGCTGAAATCAAGGAATATACATACAGTATATCTTCCTTGGGTAAAATGTTGCTATCAGTGTTGCCATTTTAGTAGTTTTCTCGCTAAATCTAGATATTTTGACCCACCATCTAGCGGGTAAATTTGCAGTCAGTGGCAGTGGGAAGTGATACCACCCTCAGTGTCAAGACCTTACTGAATTACTCAGAATAGGCAAAATGTACTCCAAGCTTTGTCAATAAATTTGTTAAACTGAAAAAAAAAGTTGTCTAGCTGCTAGCGATTTTTTTTGCTGATTTAACTAATGTCTGGAGGATTTCTAGCGGTTTTAGTTATATAATTATACTTACAAAGGTATAGACAGTCAGTGAAAAGATCTCACTCTTGTGAAGTGGAATGAAGTTTCACATAACTAAATGGACGCATCACATTGTAATCCATTCAAGGAGTTGGCAGAGTTTGCTTTATCAGTTCTCGTCATACTCGACTCTAATGCTGAAGTAGAAATGATATTCAGCCAATTAAATAAAGTGAAAAAATAAACTTCGAAACAGAATGGGAATAAAAACGGCTAATGCTCTTCTTGCAATACGAGCAGGTTTGAAAAGAAATGAAGAGTCTTGTTTTGAATATGAAATACCGGCTGATATCTTGAAATGGATTGGAACTAGCAATGCATACTGTCAGTGAACCAATCCTGAAATCAACACCAAGAGCAAGTACATCTCGACAACGGGCTGCTGCTGGCCAATGATCCTATGAAAGAATTCCTATGGGACCTGACTACCTGATGGAGGTGGAGTGGAGGAGAGTATTGTGGAAGAAACAACCATTTCCCGATAACCATGTAGGGGATTCTTTTCTGAGAGTCAGCAAGAAACGTGAGTGTGATTGTTAGTGGAAGAAGAGGGCAAGAAGCAACGCATCACTAGTACGTAGTGGATATTTTACCGTGACCGTTATATTAAATAGAATGTACATTACTGTATGTTTAATATGACGGGGAAGGGGGGGGGGGTCCGCTCCCCGCCTAGGAAGTTAGGTAAGGTTAGGTAGGTTTCTTTGGTTAGTTAGGTAGGTTTCTTTGGTTAGTTAAGTAGGTTTATTTGGTTAGTTAGGTAGCTTTCTTTGGTTGGTTAGGTCAGGTTCTATTAGGTTCTAATAAATGTCTTCTCTTTTATAATTATAAGAATATTTTTGGAAAAAAAAAAAAAAATCGAACGACTTCTGGTTTAGTATGTTTATAGCTACACAACGATTGACTCAAAGCGAAATGAATGCCAAATGCCGCCAGTCACGGTTAAATATAGTTCGCCGGTAATGGACAAATGCCAATCAGAGTGCAGTCACGTTAAAATAGCGTTCGTAAGAACTTAGTCGGTCACGGAAAAATATCCACTGCTTCACTAGTATGAAGGAATATGTGTAGCGCATGTATTGTATAGGCAAGCTTTTGACGAAGGGTAATACTAGGGCAGATGGCTAACACCAGAATGCATTTTTCGATTTTGTTCATTTTCTCCACATATGTTCTTATCATTATAGGAGGTATTTTAAAATAGGCAACATTTACTAGAACCTAATAGAACCTGAGCTATCCAACCAAAGAAATCTACCTAACCTTATCTAGCTTCCTAGCCAGACCCCCCTCCCCCTCCATATTAAACAGAAAGTATTTATTTTGATATCTGGTACCAGTGAAAGCAACTTTGTTAAAGCTTCATGGTGTAATTTTATTTTTATTTTTTTGTGGATGTGAAAGTATACTGCTTCAAGAAAGTTGCTTTTATTGGTACAGTCTCGTTCAAGATTCTTCGAACACTGCTGGAGACAGCTGGCAACTCAAGGCCGTTTGTTTACTATAGTACGTAGTAAAATTATGAATGAATTTAAAAAGTTATCGGTGATTGGTTACTTAGTTGCCTGTTGCTTAATTAATGGTTGGGCTTTATTGTTTCGTATTATATTATACTACGTACTATAGTAAACAAACGGCCTTGAGTTGCCAGCTGTCTCCAGCAGTGTTCGAAGAATCTTGAACGAGACTTTACCAGGTATCAAAGTAAGTACTTTCTGTTTAATATACTGGGGAGTCCTGTCCTCCCCCGGGCTAGAAAGTTAATTAAGTTTAGGTAGGTTTGTTTGGTTGGTTAGGACAGGTTCTATTAAGTTCTGTGCATTGTTGTATTATTTTTAACTATGTAATATCATCCAAAGAACATCTGTGGAAAATATGAACAAAATCGAAAAATTCATTCTGGTTTTAGCTATCGCCTCCCATATTATCTGGCAAAGAATTTACATTTAGTTGTGATTATCATTTTTGTTGGTTTATCGTGTTTCAAATATATCATATAATGTGACAAAGTTGGAAGTGTTCATCTATACAAAACAGTCCAGTAATCATATACATTACAAAGGCACTGAGATAATGATTTATTTGTTTATTTATTTTTTCCTTTTAAGATGATAAATAAGGGAATCTTGGTATGTTTTCAAGTCAGTATCCTTCACTGGATTTGAATTCTCTGAATTTAAGCAATTATTTCCTGTAGATATTTCATAAAAAGTAATTATGGTAAGACTTATATGGTGACCCGCACCTCAATCTTGTTAGAAAGTTACAATAGTAGCAGAGTTGTAGCATTCAAACATTGTATGAGTACAGTATATTTGTCTTGCAACGTACAGCCTTTTGTGTGTTTGGAAACTGTTGGATGGACCATTAAAGCTTTTTTAGATTTATGTATGCACTATGAACAAGTTTTCCTATGGCTAATAATTTGTGTATTATACTTTTGTATGTGCAGGTAGAGAACTGTTGTTTTCCGAGACGTTATATGGTGCAACAGCTGTCACTCAAGAAATATGCAGGTAAATCACTGTAACCTATAGTACCCTAGTTATGTATTTCCTCTATGTAACATGGTTCAGTATTGTCGTTATATTTAAATAGCTAGACACATTAAATTTCATTTCCGAGACAAAAAGTGTTTTTGGTTCAAAATCCTATAACGGCTTATCGTTTCGGCCATAATCTTGATATCACCGATTTTGTTAAAAATATCAATACTGTGCATGTACTCCTGAACATGCTGATTGAAGATATGTTGTCCACAATACTGTTTGATACAGTGTATTTGTATACAGTAATTACGTCTCCAAATGACATCCAAAATTTTAATTACAGTACTGTACTGTACTGTATTTTTGTAATGCTAATTACTTGCCACCTGTAGTTTTTCAAGGTCATTTTTGGTGTTTGTGTTAATCTTGATGTATTGTACTTAAGTATTTGGACACATTAAATTTTAATTCTGAGAGAAAAGGTGTTTATGGCTTAAATTCCTTACTGTTTTGGCCATAATCTTGATCTCACTGATTTTGTTCAACATGATTATGTACTCCTGAACATGCTGATTAAGGATCTGTTGTTTTCAATTTGATATCTATACACTAATTACTTGTCCAAATGACATCTCAAAAATTTTAATTACATTTATAACACTTATTACTTGACACCTATGGTTTTTCAAGGTCACTTCTTGGTGTTTGTGTGTCTTGCTGAGATGAATTTAAACTTGAGTGTTGACCCCATCATCTGGTTTTAGAATTGAGCAAGAGATGAGGGTCAGGGAGCATGAGTGTTACCCTCTACCAGATTATGTGGAAACTGCCATACCAAATGTCTTCTTTCAGAGGATTTGTTCTAGTTAGGAAGTACAAGACTGTTTTTTGAAATTTAATTCCAATCAACAATTAGGGGTCCTGAGACTCTAGATTTTCATAATTTAGTCTGGCTATACATAATATACTGTACAAAGTTGCCCCGTTCCTTGCTCACTTATAAAATGGAATTCCACCAGAACCAATCCTCCTTATTTTCATACATAAGTTTATAGTGAACTGTGGTTTTGTTGATTTAAATGCCACAGATTAACCCTCTGGGTATGAGGGGTCTCTCTGTGCTGAGTAAAGTCGTCTGGTTTTAGCCAAGTAAAATATTTAAACCGGCATCCAGTAGTGAAGGGGTTAATGAGAGTTTACTGTACTTTCCCATCTTTGCCTTCCTTCATCTTGTTCCCTCTCGCTCCATCTATTATATTATTATGTTACTGTCATTTATTTTATAGCTCAACATTTCACATCTACTCTCAGATATTCAGAACACTCCATTTTCTATCATTTTTTTCTTTACAGTGATTGCATATTTTGTACTGTACACATAACTAATTGATGTTACACACTATCATCCTTATTATATATATACTGTACTGTACTATATGTAATACATGTACTGTATAGTAAGGTATTATTTCATATTTATACAAGTGAAATTTCAGACTTTCATTCCTTACTTTGGTATTTCATTAAAGTGTAATACTCTACAGCTGTCTGGGACTGGTGGTGGTGTTCTTTGGTATATCAGAGCGTAACGTGAATGCTGCTGGAGTCTTAGCATTAACAGCATCTCTGGGCATTATTGGCTACATTTTAACAAGAGCCCAGCTTGCCTCTTCAGGTAAGAACTTTTCCTCTAAGTTTTTACACAAAATTACCATTTTTTATTATAAAAAAGGTTACTTATTATTGTGTATGTACTGAACTTTCACTTTTTTATTTATAATGAAATATAAATATTTATTTTACCATAGTAAAGGAAAGTAATTTTTATTAATAATTCTTCTTGGTAGTTAATTCCTGTTCTTTATAATTTCAAATTGAGTTTTATTAGTCCCTCATTCCCAGTACTACAGGTATCCCTCATTTAACAAACATTCGAGATGTGAAAATTCACTTACAGGTATATGAATTTCCTAAAGTAACACCTCTTTTTCATTTAATGAAAACTTCCCCTGCTTATATGAATTTTGATCCAAGCACAAATTCAAACTTTCATTTAGCTTTTCCTTAATATTTTTAGGTGATTCATTATAGCCGAAACTTTGGTATATCCCTGACAGTATAGTATTAAATATTAAGCCAGAAAATAAGGAAAAACATTTACTAAATGTAGCTGTACTGTATTTACCATTCTGAGGTTGAGTCTGCAGTTATTTCCTGGTGATCTTGAGATGGCCAGTGCTAGGTAACTACATTAACTACTGAAACACTACACAGTACTATGTACAATTTATACATAACGTAGCACACTTTTTACTAGCACTGGCCTAGTCGTCATCCTTGAAGATAGCTTCTGGTGGCAATACAAGAAAGTTAAAAGTGGCGCATGTTCGATAGGCCTACATGGTTCATTAAAGTCAAAATTTGGTATTTCGAGGTTCGTTATATTTGGGGTTTACTGTAGACAGTATTTTATTAATATTTTTAATGTATTAAGTGGTAAACTACAGAAGTTGGGTGCTACTTTTAAGTAGTAATGTAGGTCTTTTGTTGATTGTGAACTGATTTCCTGTTTTAGGGGGTATGACATTGGGGTTTCTTGTCATTGGAACACCGAACCGTATTTTTCCCAAATGTTCCGCTGTTCGAGAAACAAAAACTCACTTCACAAATAGTGTTTTAAGGACCTAACCCATTCGTTAAGTGAGGGATACCTGCTCAGTGATCTCCCACAAGTGTGCAATTTTCACAGTTGCAGTACTTTACAAATCATTGAGACAGTAATTTGAATTCATTTTTTGCTTATTTACAATGGCTGAGTAAATTCTGGGACTTGTGTTGGTTGGAAAATCTGCTCAAATGCATTACTCAAGCTGTGAGCTTGAATACACAGAGGGGGACATTGTTTGTTTGTACCTCTTCCCAGGGTAGCACACCTGGTTAGAACCCACAATGTTTTCTCAATAATGAAAGAATAATATTTGCAACACAAATGCACAGGAGGTACAGTATTGACCAGCACCCATAAGATATACAAGGACATACAGTGACTTCCTATGCTGTAGGAGATGCTGCATCATCAGCCGAACAAACCAGGATAGGCCAGCTGATGAGATATGAACGGAATTTTTAATTTGAAAATACTGTACAGTATACTCTGGAATTTTTTTTATTTTTGCAAATAGTTTATCAGATTTCTGATACTCAATGGTGCTGCCACTTGCCAGGTCAGCTGATAAATGAGTTTCACTCAATCAGACTCTCATCACACTTGCAAAGGTGAGAGGGCAGTCATTAGCTTACTACCCTGCCATGCAGTTGGGGAACAATTTCAGGGGTGCATTTTGTATTAAAATAATTTTAAATATTTCAGCTAAGGATGATGTTAAGGTGGCTTGTTTCTATGTGGTTTTGATCGCGTGTGCATCTCCTGTGGTCAAGAGCTTGACAGGCAGTGTTGCAACAGATTCCATTAATGCCTGCACCACTTTTCTGCTAATTTTGCGCCTTGTGGTTCATGACTATGGAACAACAGTTGCTATGTAAGTACTGCCTTATATTTTGAAATTGGTATTTGAAAAAAGAAATGTGTACAGTACAAGTCTGTCATGGAATCAGCTTTTATTCATTATTGTCTTCAATTAACTTTAGCAATAAATTTTAAAACCCAACATTTATACTTTTCTATTTCTTCCTTAGAGTTAACCCGACTGTGTCACACAATGTGGGAGTGTTCGCATCTGTTTGTTTGGCTTCCAGACTGGATAGTGACCTTGATGTGTTTACCTTAATGACTGTGGCTGTAGCATTGTTTGCACTCTTCCCCAGTTTCAGAAGATACTGCCGGGTAAATTGGCATACTGTACTGTATTTCCTTTCAAGAAAAAGTGTATCCGCCCATAAGAGTATTTTACATTTAACATATGGACCTTTTGTTACACTACCTCCATCTTTCTTTTCATTCATTGTGTACAAAATGCACCTCAATAAGTATAGAGCCTTGCTTATTTTTATATCTTACCTCAGTGTACACTAGACTTTTTTTTGCATTTTCTTAACCCTTTTATCAGTGAATATACTGCACATGTACTGTTATACTGTATAGCAAAGTTTTCTAAGACCTTCAACAAGATGGCATCTTTAATGTGTGAGTGTCTAATTAATACCTGTACTGTAAAACACATTTTCCAAGCTTTTCCATTCAAAAAATTTTCAGTGAGGAACATGTTCCCCTTGTTATATGTACAATATTTATGTGGTAAATACTGTAGGTTTTCTTTTACTGTACATGTATTACAAAATAAAAAAACATATGAAGACAAATGCTTGCACAGCAAGTCACAAGAGTTGAAGGCTGGTTGTAAGTGGGTGTGACATGCGCAAGCTCACACACACAAGTACCAGGTATTCATCCACCTACAGGGTGGCAATTAAAACAAACAAAAAGGTTCCTATGGCATCTCATCAAGATCAGAGTTATAACTTTGATGCTTTGAATTTAGTGATTATTTGAGAATATCTTGTCAGAGATTTTATCTCTTATTATTTTGATGTAAGTGTAGGTTGTCTACATGAAAATATTGTTAGCATGGCTTTTCTCTCTTGATTGAAATTGAGAAAAATGTAGGCACTCAACAGGAAATTATTTTTTGTAAATTGTTTTCTTATAAGAACTTATATAAATGTTAATAATTGTTTCCAGGTTCAGCTGGGGAGATGTTGGGACCTGATAACAACAGTAGTGGTGGTGGTGTGCACCACCTCAGGGATTCTACTCTTTGCTCCACATCTCCTACTCATATTTTTTTTAGCTTTGTTCCTTTGCAACTTCTTCATCCCGGCTCTATTCATCCACTTGCAGAGTCATAAACAGTAAGTTTGATTATTCTTATATTGTGGAAAGAATATTTATGTAAATTTTAAGGAAATTTCTGAGGATCTTGGTCTTAATGTCAGTTTGTGGTAGAGTATTTAACACCTTGTGTATGGGGTCCCCTTTGAACTGAAGAAAATTGTCCGGTGTTAGCTAAATATAATATTAAAAGTGGTGTCCCCATAGGGAAGGGGTTAAGAATAGAATATACAGTAGTACTGTAAAAAGCTTTTTGAAAATGTATGGTAAGATATACCACTCTTTATGACAACTATTTACGATTTTTCAATTTTATAGTAGTAAATAATTTTCACATATACAGGTGCTCCTCTACTTAAGAACGTTCAACTTACAAACATTATTACTGAGGGGGGTTACCTGCCAGAACAAGTGTTTAATGTGGATGAGACTGGATTATTTTGAAGAAAATTTCAGATACAACAAACATTACCTAAGAGGAGAAGAGTGAGCCAGGTTTTAAGGCTGTATTAAAGGGTAAAGCTGTACTAGATATCCATAATCTTTTCCTTTTTTACAATGTGTTTGGTATCTACAAGAGTAAAGTTGGACTTACAAATAATTGGACTTACAAACAAGCCTCAGGAACGTAACTCGTTCGTAAGTAGAGGAGCACCTGTACAGTTGAGTCTGGATTTACACGGTTTTTGTTTACACGTTTGGTCATTTACGCGGTGCCTTGCCAGAATTGAAATGCTTTAATTAAGCTGTAAATTTGGTCATTTACGCGGGAAGCGGCGTGGGCAGCGTGCGCACAAGGTCGCCCAGTCATCAAAACATTACCGAGTTCTTCACCCGCCACCCACCACAGCCGGCCCAAGTCAGTGAGAGTGATAGTGAGGATATGGACTTTGAGGGACCCTGCAAGCCTATGTGGTGGATAGTGATACAATTGATACAAGTGATACAGGTGAGGGCCAATAATCTGCCCTCTGCCTCGGAACCAACCTCCCATCCCCGTGTGCCCAGCCATCTTTTCTACTAACGCAAGTGTTAAAAAACCTAATATTATTGATATTTCTCTTAATTGTTAATTGTGTGTGCATACCATCATAAAATTAAGATGTTATTTTGACTACAAGGTACGTATTGTGTCTGAAAAAGTGGAGTTTGGGGGTCGGCCCAGTCTCTATTTCAATTAATCCCATATGTTCTGTTATTTCATTTACGCATTTCTCGTTTTACGCGGTACTCCACGGGTTCAATTGACCGCGTCAATGAAGACCCAACTGTATATGAAAATATGAGATGAAAAATAACAATAACACAACTTTGTGTGGTAGGGGGATGTAGCTACTGCTAACTTGGTAACATACCAAGTCCACACATACTTTCCCTTCACACACATACATACATTTTTTTTTTTTATTATTATACCAACATGCTGTCTCCACTGATATTATTATCTCTAATTCTAAAATTCACTGTACTCACTGGGCCCATGTGGTGTGCGTAGGGATGCTACCCATGGACTCGACTGCCAGCTGGCTGAGCTTGCCTGCAGAAAATGTATTCTAACTGACTGCATTTGGCCGAATTTTCCAGTGTTAGCTTGGCTCAACCCGTGTTCAAACAAATCTTAACCCTATGTTAAGCGATACCAGTTAGTATAAAAAACAGTGTTCGAGTGAATCTTAGCCCTCTGTTAAGTAATACCAGGTAGTAATAAAAAAAGTGTTAGAGCAGATCGGTGTCGAACAAACCTGTGTTATTACTCTATAAGTTTAAAATAAATTCCAGAGATAACAAAGAATGGCTAGTAAGCTGATAAATGGTGAGATAAATAATGATGAAATGTGATGGCAATACCTGTAGAGGAATAAGGTGCACATTCATTATAATTATATTCATGATTTATTCTTTCTTTCACACAGAAATATATATGGTCCATGGGATGAGGCTCAGATTGAAGATAGATGAAGACACATCATCACCAGCACAATACATTGCTGCTTCATATTTTCAAACTGGGTGGTACTGTATTGCAGCAACACACTTGCCCCTCTCTACAGTACCCTGAGTCCAATCTCCAGCCCTGGTCAGATGTGAGAAGGATGTTATCCAGTGTGACTTCCAAACATTGCAGGGTTTCTCTGGGTACTCCAGTTTCCTTCTGTACTAACACTGGACAATGAAGGTAACAAGGAACAGAATGACTGCCCAAATGGCTAATAAGCTGGTAAGTGGTGGAAATGATAAACAAGAAAATTTTAAAATAATATTCATTACAGTACAGCACATTATTCTTGAATTTTTTTAAAATTTTGTGATTCTGCTCTGTGTTATTTTTATATTCACTATTTTTTTTTTCAACTTTGTCAAGTATGTGTTTTAGTAATGCAGTTAAAGGATGTATATTACAGCTATGAGAGATATTTGTTTTTTAAATACAATTTCAAATATTCTTATTACATGTACCAGCTTTAAGAATATTAAAAATATTCAGCTATTGTGTTATATGAATATTTGAGGATGTTAGGAAGACATTCATATTCATTGTACTTAAGATTTTTTATTTTTTTTGCTGAGATATATGTGAGGGATGCATTCTTGAAAACCCTCGCATAAACCAAAATAGCGTATATCAAATACTTAGTTCAATGGAAAAAAAAAAGAGATGTTTCTTTACCCAAAATGAAAATATTCCAGACCCATTTTCAATATAATTTCAAAACAAATAAACCATAAAATAAATCACTATAATATATATATTTTTTGATACCGCAATAGATAAAGCAAGTGTACAGTACAGTGTCCTTAACAATAAAAACAGATACATCAACTTGGGTAGACGAGATGATGGAGGTGGTGGTAGAGGTTTTACGTCGTGGGTGATGGTAGCTCCTACACTACTCACGTAACCCACCAAAGGTTGACACCAATCTTCTGATGTCAATCACTGTCGACATAAACCAAGTAACAAGACAATGGACGAGTTCATGGGTGTTTGCTTGTGGGGGGCAAGAGGGGGCAGTTGCCCCCCCCTGAATCTGGCTTGTGTCAAAATATATAAGCAACAAATACCCAACAGAAGAAGGGGATTTAGAGTCTGACAAAAACGAAGGAAAGGAAAAAGAAACACTAAAATTTTAGCCCACCGAGCCTGACTGTGGGGGAATGCCTATCCCCTTGTGCCCTCCCCCCATCCCCCCGGAAAATTCAAGCAGACACTCTTGGACGAGGTGATGGTTCTGGGGAAACATATTCAACACACTCTGTGACACTGTTAGAAGAATACAATATGTATTGTTTTTAAATTAAAGTTGAAACCAACATGATTTAAACGTGATAAGTTAAAATATTTTTGGCACTGAGGAAACGGCAACCATATTGACGATGACGTCAAAAGCTAGAAGCAGATGACCCACATAAACCTGCAGTCAAGGAGTTTACAGCAGATGGCCACTTCAGATTGCATCAGCCTGTTCAGGTAAGGTGTAAAGGTGCATTTTTAATGATGTGAGTCAGAGGCATTTCGTAAGTAATAAAAATGTAGTGAACAGTAAGAAATACAAGTAGTAAGCCCCAACGTTTACACTATCAGCTGACCTGCCCAGACATTGCAGCATACACATGCAGAATATACCTATTCTAAAGATCTAAATATGCCCCTAATAAACCTACATAACTCCCATACACTCCTCGTTGCTATTAAAGCATAATATTCGTGAAGATGTGGGTCAGTAAAGAAGTAATGACTGGGTCTGGACTGGTTTGAGAATGTTTGCTGCTGGGTAAACATTACAACATATTTCTGCTTTTAACTTGGCAGTGCACTCATTAACCATTGTTATCTACCATTAGTCATTATTTCCTAGAGTGTACAAGCAAGAACTAATTGTTAGAGGTATGGTCAGAGTGTACATACATAGGTTGGTAACTGGCTGTGAGCATGGACACAGTACCACTACAATACTTGCATTCTAGATCCTGTACTTAAATATTTGTACATTTTCTGTTACTTTTCTCTTATCTAGTTATATTATGATCTTGGGCTTACCTGGGAACCCCATTGTTACTTTACAATCTTCAATACTCACAGTAGCTGCCACCACCAAGGTTTTTCTCTCAGAATATACTGTATAACATAAAAGATGATTTAATGCAATAAAGTCAAGTATAGGCACACTAAAATAGGACACAAACACATGAACCACTCCTTGGGGTTTACTCCAGACTTGTCGAAATTTATGTTAACACTAATACAAATCATAAGTCTTTGAATTTAACGGAAGCAATATTCATTAGAAAATACTCCAACTCACTGTAACATTTTATGAGTGACAAAAATAATGACTCTTCACCACTTCATTACATTACCGCTTATACTGATGCTTTATAGCAATCTCCAAAAATCCATCACAAAGCAGATACTTGTGTACTGTAATTATTACTCTCAGTACTGGGGGTACAGGTTACTCTTGGCACACACTTAACACAACTCCATGGCATAACCTTACCTCTCATCACTTATTAATATTATACCTGTTAATACTCCTTACAACACAGGACACATCGGTATTCTCATTTTCAGTGAGAATAATATAGTACTTCAGACTGATACATATAGCATGAATTACCACCGGGCTTATGCCAGCTGGGATCCAAACACTGGCGTTCGTTCACACTCCGTGAATCCACGGCAGAGCTCACTTTGAATCTGAGTTTTGGCTTCCCTGGTGCACCTACTCAAACTCAGTCTTGGTTTACTCAATACATCCTGCCTGCACTGGCCACCGACCCTCAGCAGCCCCAGCAACACACATAGAGAATAAGATGCTCAAAGTGATATAAGTCAACACACAACAGTTGCAAAATACGTCTTTGTGCAAGGAAACAAATGAGGCACTCTGCATTACAAGGAGGTAAAGCGCCACCCCAGACAAAATGCGTGTTTTGATGAATATCACTACAGGGGTATTTTCACCCCTCCTCTACATGTTGGCGTTGGATGTAACCCCCTAGGTAGACTAGAAATATCGATGAAAGTCCTTCAAAAATAGGGTGTCATTTCACCTCAGGCTGAGAGCTATGTATTTGGCTGTGTGCTTAGTAAGTAAAGGTGGCCACATCCCGTTCAGAGTGAGAGGAGCGCGAGCCAATGACAGCGTATGCCCCATGGACCATACCCCCTGAGTCGGCAAATCACAATCGATTTCCCTTGCTATGTCACAGCTCATCGGCCAATCCACACACCCAGATGCTGCCTCCCTGTTAGTCTTGCCACGCTGCGTAGTATAAAGCTGTTCAGAGTTTCTACTGCTATTTTGGATAACTTTTCGGTGTAACATTGACGTTATTCATGTTCCACTGGTGTGAGAAGTGTTACGCAATGTCTGCCCGATTCGAGTGAGGCCAGCCCTTCTGGTGTGGGTTCAGGAGCCCTAATTCCTGAGCGTGTGTCTAGTGGCGACAGTGTTCACGTGGACACCCCAGCCGTGCTTGGTGATAAGTGATTTTGGTGGTGAATTTAGTGGTGATTATGGTGATGCAAGTGCGACTGGCGATAGTGATGGCCATTAAAGTTATACGAACTCCTCAGGATTTATGTAACTTCAACTTACTGTACTACGATCGTCAGGGATAATAAAACGAAGGAACTAAACAAAGTAAGATTGTAATACTATTATCATAATACTGTTTTACCCAAGATTCTGCAAAATTTCTCCGGCTTTGTATTCATATGTTAATTACGTTGGGGGGGGGAGTGTAGTGGTGTTGGCTGTTACACTACAGGACTGGAGGCTTTGACAGTTTCTGATAAATTCTTTAATATAAAATTGACAATCACTTTAATACAGTCATCAGATTCTCTGATAACTAAGAATCAAAAACACTAATTTCAGTTTTGAATGGATATCTCATCACTTGACATGAGGCAAAAACAGTTATCACAGATTTGGCCGAGTACAATTTTAACTACATTTTAAATTTAGTTGAAGCTTTCAACATACACATACTAAATCTTGAATGCTTCACCTACTGGTAGGTATACATCACTTACTGCTACTCATTCATGTTACATCATAATTTTAAATTTACGATACAGGGGCAATACGGAAAACAAATTTCTCTCTAGGGGTAACTCACTCGTTTCGCACCTGTTTTATAGACGACGGAGCATACTATGAATAAGTAAGGTGAAAATATTATCAGTGTAACTGTGCCCACTGCCCATGACAATGCACCATGGCAGCTCTGTTGATTAGATTGGCATTAACATTCACATCCTCTTCATTGTTTGCTTCAGTTTCGAGACATGACACTAGATCTGCTTTTTGTCCACTTTTTTGTTTTTCATGCTTCGAAAGAGAGGGTGTCAGCATTCTCATGTTCAAAGAACTGGTTGGCATTGCCCTTTCTGATTTGCATAGAAATGTAGATCTACCTGAGGATATGTGTATCATCATGTGGTAAGATTTTCAGGTAGGGAAATTTTGTTCATTTTGCTTGGGTCAGTTACAAATATTGCCCTTTTCTCTAGCCACTCTTCTACAATGTCAGTTCTCTTCCCTTTTCCTCAGCGCTAAAAATTACATCTTCATTCCACTTCTTTGTTCTTTACCTCCTTTGTATCAGGTAGTATGACCTCATTGCTGTCTTCTTTGAATGTGTTACCCTCAAGGTTAAAGGAATGGATCAAGGTCTACACGATCATACAACCACTGCCAATAAAAATTGCAAATATTTGTACAATATATTTAGTACTGTAGTCAGTTAATTATTTAACTGGGTAACATCTGAAAAACATATTGAGTAATGAGTAGTGAACAGAGTAGCCTAAAATGGTATCTCATTTATTTAGACCATGTACACACATATAAAATAAGTGTAGTTTAGAGCTTCAAGTATACAGATAGCAGTTTTTGGGCCAAGAATAACAGTGACCTTGATATTTTTCAAAGACCTTAACCTCATAGGATAATGAAACTTATTCCAAGCGTTTTTTCATTATCTAAACCATCATCTCCATACCAAATACTGTACATATGAAAATCGAAGCTGTAGTTGCTGAAATAAACATCATTCGGTGATGCCTCTGCGTGGTGGTAGCCATTTTGTTCTTTGCTAATTAGGGTACAGAGGATTCCCGACTTACGAACGCCCACTGATACGAACTGGGTTAAACTTGAAATTTACAGTATTTTATTTACCTAATGACTTATTTTTTACTTTCATTTACTGTATTTTGTCATTCTATTTCTTCTTTTGGCTTAAATTAAGTGATTTTAGATGTACAGTATATAAGGACTTAAGCTATGATGTAGTGGAATTTTAAACATTGTTTTGTAGGTACAGTATGCACATAGCATGTGTTCCGATTTGCCTAAAAATCCGACTTAAGAACATCCTCAGGAATGGAATCAGTGTGTAACCCGGGGACCTCTCGTATGTTAATGAGGTCTAAAGTTTGTGCCGTATATCAGATGTTGAAGAGATCTTATCAATGGTTAGCTGAGCCAAGTTTGGTGATTTTTTTTCCAAAGTGCTCACACTCGCCGATGGACTAATTTTGTTGGTGATAAGCTGTTAGTAAAGGGGTATGAGTGTGTGATTATTACCAGTGGTTTTGAAAAGAGTGGTCCTTTTGGTGTGATGTTTACAGCCAGGGCCCAGGCCCAACATTTACCAAATACCTGCCAAATCTCCCATTTCTTAAATAATCCCAAGTAGCTTATTCTCCTTCACATCGCCCTGCTATCTCAGCTTCATCACACAACATTGTTTTACCCTCTTTCTTCTACTTTTCTGCCCAAATTCCTGTCTTTCACTTTACAAGTTTCCCTGTTTTGCAACATCCTCTCAAGTCAGTTATCACAATTTTGCCGATCCCTCAGGGCCTTACGCTTCCTGGAGTCTTCTTGGCATATGCACGTCCAGTGACATAATACCTTTTGAGGAAATGCCTGGTATATTGCCTCGAAGATTATGATTTTTGTTGTGAGTATACCTGCATACCATAAGGTCTTTCTCACTGAAAGGTTGTGTGAGCGGGCACATGAGTGAACTTTGAACGATCCCCCACTGGCTATCATCTATGCCTACTGTATTTATATATAAGCAGAGCCAGAAACACATGGCACACATTTACTCTTCAATAAGACCCATCAACACTATCTTCCCAACATTATCTATGTAAGAGAATACTGTCTCTCATGATTTCTATCATTGTTGGACCAGTGTACAGGTATTGCTAACTCTGATACATACTTAAAGACCTTCGTTGTTGAAGCACAGTAATAACATATAACAACAACAACAAAAGAGGGTACCTTATTCACGCATGCTGGATAATTGTCTTATAATACACCCGTATATGTTATCATCTACTTACACACACTGTGACATTACAATAACTAAAATTTAGTTATCTTAGGGCTCTCAAAACTTTTTTTTTTTGCATTACCATGGACCAGCATAAGGCCATTA